AAATTGTTTCTGTTTCTTTGTGTCACTTGCCACCCACCCAGAGTCCTGCGTGGGCACCGGGCTGGCTGAGCTCAGGTCTCACGCTCTCTGGAGAGATTTCACAGAGGGAGGCCGAGTCCTGGCTCCAGCCAGGCTCACACGAGACCAGATTCCCAGGGGCGTTCGGTCTCTCCCCAGCACGGAAGGCGGTTCAATGCTGGACAGTCACAAACAAGCGCTTCTTTTTATCCCTACTTACATTTTTCTTTTGACAAGTATTACCCCTACTTACTTTTTAGTTTTCAACCTGGATTTCACTTCCACAGGGAGGCCCTCCCTGACCTTCCAGACTCAGTAGGACACCCCTGTCAAATGGCTTCCCAGCACCCCAGAACTCCTTACTAGCACACTTACTGTATTTCTAATGAGTTATCTGTAAGTATCTGTTTGGTCTAGGTTTCCCCACCTACTTTATACACTTGAAAGGTCAGGAGCTATGTTTGTTGTGACTATTGCTTTATTTTTAAAGCAAAGCACAGGGCCTAGAATGTGGTAAATGATCTCTCCGTATCTGTTGGACCTTGTCTATTTCTATAGTTCTTAAATTATATTTCTAATTTACAGTCTCTCCCCATCCCCCTTCAGCTGATACTGACTGCTGGGTGATTTCTTTGGATCTATTCTCCAGTTTATTTATTTTCTCTTCACCTGTGTCTAATAGGCTGTTTAGCATATTAAGAGTTTTTAATTTCAACTATTATGTTTTTACTTCTAAAAGTTATATTTGATTTTTAAAAATCTGCCTTGTTAATTTTGTTGTTTTTCTTCTTTGTACTTTCAAGTTACTCTTTTTTTCCTTTGAACACATTAAGTACATTTATTTCATATTCTGTCCCTGATAAGCCTCATAATTTTGCAGGTCTCGTTCTGTAGCTTGTGGTACATCTTTCATGATTCTCATTCCTAGCAGTTTATTTTGTGTTTCTCTGGGGGTTTTCATTAAGACTTTGTGATTCGTCCTGGCTCAGGGGTTCAGTTAGTTGAGCATCGTCCCATGTGCACCAAAAAGTCGCCTGTTTGAGTCTCGATCAGAGCACATGCCTAAGTTGCAGGTTCCCCTGTCTGGCTGCGTACGGGAGGCAACCAATCAATGTTTCTCTCTCTCGTTGATGCCTCTCTCTCTCTCCTGCCTCCGACCCCCTTCCTCTCTGTCTAAAAATCAATTTAAAAACATATGCTTGGGTGAGGATTTTTTAAAAACAATAAACAAAAAAGAGATCATGATTCTTGAATACTTACCTGGAAAAAGTTATTTGATATCTGGATTTAAATTGTATTCTCCAAAGAGGAGTTTGTTTTTCTTTTTTCTTTTCCTTCCTTCCTTCCTTCCTTCCTTCCTTCCTTCCTTCCTTCCTTCCTTCCTTCCTTTCTTTCTTTCTTTCTTTCTTTCTTTCTTTCTTTCTTTCTTTCTTTCTTTCTTTCTTTCTTTCTTTTGTTATATGCATAATATGAGTTGGGTTTTTTTTACCTGGAACACAGAGGTGGTGAAATTCATAGGGGATATTTTTTCTTTTTCCGCCCTTGTACAGCCAAGGCCAGGTCAGACACATATCTGTGCCTTCTTCTGGGGACTTCTTCTTCCTCTAATTTAACCATGGAAGATGTTGCCCTGTGGGATCCAGTGTGATGAGTCAGTAATGGTTCCAGACCCCCAACCTTCTTGAGCCCCTTTATTGCTTATGTCCTTGCATAGGCAGCCCAGTTAAACCCTGACTTTGAGCCACAGGGAATCCACTAGTTTCCTAAGAGCAAACCCCAAGTTCAGTGATTTTTTTTTTTTACTTTTTTCCTACTTTTTATCTTTTTTCTTTTGCTCTCATGAGAATTCACTTAGTTTCTGCCAGCTCAAACATTAACAAATAAATGAATTTTTTATTTTATCCAGAATTCTCAGCTTTGTTCTTTCAGCAGAGACTTTCTGAATACAAAATTTGTAAGATTGCTGGAAATAACTGCCCAACCACAAATAACTTCTGACTTCTAACACCAAAAATTAGAATCCTTGTTTTTGAACTTCATATAAATGAAATCATGAAGTATGGTTTTTGTGTTTGGCTTCTTTTGCTCCATAACAGGCTTGTGGCATTTATCTATGCTATTAATTTCCATAGCCACATGGAATTCTATTTTATTAATATTCCACACTTTATTATCCAGTCTACAGTCAATTAACATGTGGGTTGTTTTTAGTTTGGAGCTATTATCTATAATGGCACTATGAACCTTCTTGGTATGCCTTTAGGTAAGAATGTGTACTTACTTTTATTGGGTATGCACGGAGAAGTAAAATTGCTGGCTCCAAATACATATATTTGCCCAAATTTGTTAAATACTACTACTACTAATTTATTATACCATATACAATGATATACAATAATGTCGTACTATTGTACCAATGGTTACAATGTAAAATTGTAGCAGTATTTATTCCTTGTAGTGATGTAATTACTCTCCCTTTATTCCTCTTCCACCTATTTTAGGCAGGTATCTAGTGTTCATAATTCTCTGCTTTAGGGTTTTGGGCTAAGCATAAACCAGAAACAGCTTGCAGTTAATGCCCTACCCCTTTTTGAAACCTAATTTGCTGACGAGATAATATTGGCTGGTTCAATTAATGAGAACTCAGAGGGCAAGGAGAGTAAAAGACAGAGAGAGATTCCCTTGGTCAACCTGGGATGGAGGTCAGTGGGCCTAGGAAATAGCAGAGGCCAGAGAATCTGAACAGCCACTTGCGCTGATTTCAGTAAGATGACTATGTAACTGGTTATCCAGACCCATACACTTGAGAGTGACAGGGTGTGCTACTAATAATTATAGTGATACTGGATGAAAATCAGCACTTTTCCAGGCAAACTGGGATTATTTTAGGCAGCCTCAGTAGAAACTTATAAATGCAGTTGCTCATGTGTCTTTGAATGTTTCTTAGACCATTCACGTAGAAGATCATAGAAAGAGCCGCTTGTCACTGGAGAACAACAGAACTGAAGACTTCAGGTACACCCGCTGTCCTCCCCGAAGTCTGCACATGTCTGTGATGTAAATTGGTGCAGGTGAGTGTGTGTGCTTCCTTACATATCGACGCAGTGTTTTGATTGCCTCACATACAGCAAAGGCCTGTCTGTGGCCCTTGGCCGAGCTGAGTGCAGGTGTGTGTGGGCAGGGGGTGGGGGGGTCTCCACTGTTCTGAGCAGCTCGAGGTGCCAGAAATGTGTTGTCTGAGGTGCTCTTTTCTGTAGTGGCTACAACTCCGATCTAACTTTTCTCTTGTATTATTCTCAAATTTCTCTTCGAAAACGTTGGAATGTTGGCTAAAATAAGTTTGGGGCCACTCTTCCTTAAAGTCAAGCTTAAGCACCCAAGTTAATGAAGGAGAGAAAAAATGAGGTCCCCAACTGCACACAGGAAGTCCTGAAGTCCCTGGAGGAAATGGAAAGTTTGAGTGGCGCACCTGAGTCCCAAGATGCTGGGTGAGCATCATCATCCCCGCTCTAAACAAAGAGTGCGATTTCTTCCCTGCAGGGACGACCTGAAAATTTCCTAGGGGAGATGGTGCCTAATGAGGTCCCTGAGATCACCAAAGAGCATCAAGTTCTTCATGATACACTAGCTGGGGTTCTGGGGGCAAATGAGCGTTGCTATTTTTTCTCCTGAAGTTGATGTAGACCGTCTGAGAATATCCACAGACAGAAATCTTGGTCTATTCCTAGAGCCCCTGGAGACCGGGGGCTGCAGAAGCTCTGGTCCTTGGCAGCAGGGGAGTCAGAAGCATTGGCATGAGGCTGCCTGCTTTACGCACTCACACCGTTTTCTCCTTTGGGCTGATGGAAAAAGAGATGCAGGCGGCCCTGCCCTGAGGGAGCCAGGGAGCAGGAAAGTGAATAGCTGAATCCCAGCTTGGCTGATGAGGTGCTTGTAAACCCACAGCCAAGAGGTCTGAGGTATATTGATCCCTCCTCTGCTCTCAACATTGACTTTGATGAGATGGTGTGAAGGGGCTTAGAGGAAGAAGGTAGGATGTGCAGAAACAGCAGGGGACACTACTGTCTTCCTCTCTGGGGGGGCGGGTGGGGGAGAGGACCCCATATCTGGCTGGGAGAGGAGGCACAGGGCAAGTGGAGACCATGGGGTACTTGAGAGCTCTCAGTACATCCTGAGGCGGAGGGCTTCCGGTTGCGCTCCTGGCCCTTGGGGGGGTCTTTCTGAGAGTCCGTGAGCAGCCAATGCAGGCATTCCATCTCCTCATCTCTCAAGAAGGGAGAGAATTCCTGCTACCCATGCCCAGCCTCTGGCGTAGATTCTTGGTCAGCCCAGGGCCACTGAGAGTTAGTCACAGGCACATTGTCAATAGCTCAGTCGGGGACATCAATGAGAGAGTGTTACTGAACCGCAGTATGTGTCCGATGCTCCAAAAGGCCAAAAATCAAAACATCAGTGTTTGACAAACAGCGATGAGGACAGGAGACCTAGTGGTACCTCAAATCCATCTTGCCTGAGGGACGAGGTAAAGGGTTTTGAAAGGGCTAAGGGGAACGGGTATGCGGAAGCGCTGGTGGAGCAAGTATTCACTGGAGGACCTTGGAACGTGGCCACTTACAGTAAAGAGACATCAACACTGGGTCTTCCTGGACAACAGACCAAGTTCCAGTTATGTTCTGGTCCTTCAGTTCTATGGTGGGGCGGGGGGGGGGGGCTGGTCGTTGGGGAGACTTTGGTTCCAGGGGCAGCTGAAGGCCAGGGTTCTCTCACTGGCGCGTGCTTCAGCTGCCTGACTTGTGGTTTCGGTCTGTTGTCTCTAAATAACAACCGAGCACCTCACCAAACAGGGTAGAACCATTTTGAGCTGGGTTGGCAGTTGCAAGAAGCAAGGCACGAGGGTCCACCCAGCTCCGTCTCATCTCTCTTACCCTCCATGCTTCTGCTTGTCATCAAGCTTTGTATTTTATCCCTTGTTTCCACAGACCACTCCTCAGAAGAGAATGACTCTGCGAAACAGCTCCTTGGTGACTGAATTTATTTTTGTGGGATTCTCAGAGCAATCAGAGCTCCGTCTCCCCCTGTTCCTCCTGTTCCTAGTGATCTACGTGTTTACCGTGGTGGGCAACTTGGGCTTGATCACCGTAATCGGACTGAGTCCCAGCCTTCACACTCCAATGTACTTTTTCCTTTTCAACTTGTCTTTTATAGATCTCTGTTATTCTTGCGTCTTTACCCCCAAAATGCTGAACGATTTTGTGTCCGAAAATGTCATCTCTTTCATGGGATGCATGACTCAACTATTTTTCTTCTGTTTCTTTGTCAATTCGGAGTGCTACGTGCTGGTGGCGATGGCCTATGATCGCTACGTGGCTATCTGCAGGCCTCTGCTGTACACGGTCACCATGTCCCCCCAGGTCTGCGCTCTGCTGATGTTTGGTTCCTACGCGACAGGCTTCGCCGGGGCCATGGCCCACACCGGAAGCATGCTGCGACTGAGTTTCTGTGCCTCCAACGTCATCGACCACTACCTGTGCGAGGTGCTCCCCCTCTTGCAGCTCTCCTGCACCAGCACCCTATCCAACGGGCTGGTGTTCTTTGTTGTTGTTGGAGTGGTCATCGCAACATCTAGCATCAGCATCTTTGTCTCTTATGCTTTGATCCTCTCCAGTATCCTCCGTATTCCTTCTGCTGAGGGCAGGTCCAAAGCCTTTAGCACGTGCGGCTCCCACGTAATCGCTGTGGCTCTGTTTTTTGGGTCCGGGGCATTTACCTATCTAACGACCTCTCTTCCTGGGTCTGTGGACCGCAGTAAATATGCTTCAGTCTTCTACACCAATGTTGTTCCCATGCTTAACCCTTTGATCTACAGTTTGAGGAATAAGGATGTTAAACTTGCCCTGGGTAGAACCCTGAAGAGAGTGCTTTTCTGATGATTCTGTTTGTATCAGTTAATTACTGGGAAGCTTCAGAGTATCTTTTTATCTACAGATGGGGGAATTTTCAGGTTTTTTTCTTCCAATAGGTTCTTCTCACCACTTTAAAAACTAGTCCCTTGTTTATACTCTTCTTGAAGATTATACTATTTTGTACTACTTAAATGGGTTCATTGCATGCAATTTAGCATCAATTAAGTGGTTATTATTTACTTGACTCTAAGGTGGGCCCAAGAGCTGAGTAAAATGAGACTCCGTGGCTTTCATCTGTTTCTTGGTAGGCTAAATGGGTTCAGCCAAGTGACATTTCTGGCTGGGAGATGGGGCAAGTGGTGGTATGAAGGTCCAAGAGAGTGAACATGTTTTTTCTGCTGTTTTGGGAGGAGCCTTACCAAGGACCACATGCAGATAACTTGGGCCGTAGGTAAGATCGTCTCCCAGCTCTCAGAAAGATTTCTTGTCTAGAAAGATCATAAATCATCTCTTTCATATACATAAATGTACACACAAGACAAGGCTTCACCCAAGAGTCCTTTACATGGTCTAAAAAATTTTTTTTATTGATTTTATGGGGACAGGATGGGGGGACAGAGAGAGAGAGAAGAGACACATTGATGTGTAAGAGAAACATTGATCAATTTCCTCCCCTATGTGCCCCAACTGGGTATTGAACCCACAGCCCAGGTATGTGCCCTGCAATCTTTTGGTGGCTGGGATGATGCTTCAACCAACTGAGCACCTGGCCAAGACCCTGGTCTGAAATATAAAGATAAGTCAAAACTAGCACAGGCTGGTGTGGCTCAGTGGATTGAGTGCCAGCCTGAAAACCAAAGGGTCATCAGTTCGATCCCCAGTGTAGGGCACAGGCCTGGGTTGCGAGTCAGGCCCCCAGTTAGGGGGCATGCAAGAGGCAACCACACATTGATGTTTCTCTTCCTCTCCATCCCTTCCCCTCTCTGAAAATAAATAAAGTCTTTTTAAAAAACTAAAATGTTTCATTTCCAACAAGTTTAGAACTGTTAGTCCTTGGGATAATAACCATGGGGTTGGCGGTCTTGTAATTGGGTCAATTTCTTGGGCTCTGGAGGCTAAGGCTGAAAGCAAAAGAACAAAAGAGAAACTCCATGGATGTACATGAGTACGTTAACTGCTACCTCTATTCTTCCCTGAAGATACATTATGTGGCATTTGGGAAAATTCTTTTATTCTTTAAAGTAAATTTAGACTTTCCTGTCTCTAAGAATGTGTGTGTGTGTGTGTGTGTGTGTGTTACAGTTAAAAGAATCAAGAAGAAGGAGGAATCATATTACATTCCCCACTGACAGGGACACTTGGAAGGGATCCAGCTTTTGAGTGCCAAAGATTACTCTCAACGGCTCTGCTGAAGCTGCTGCTCTTCTGTACTGAAGAGCTCCGATTTTGAGGATGACATCCTCATAAACTGCCCAGATCATAGGCAGGAAGGTGAACCCGGGACCAGTCCAACCCACGTGGAGAGGAGGGGCTGAGACCCGCGGTGCGGTCAGGAAACGGGGGCCCTCTCTGAGCAGAGGCTAGAACCTGGGGTGTCCTCGAGGAAGCCCTCTGTCAAGAGTATTCATACTTTTGGGGGGATATGGGGAGAGTCATATAAAGTACTGAGTTTATACATTATGCTTTGCTTATATTTCTCCAACTTTTCCCTAAAATTGGATAGTTTCAAATCGTGTCTTGGTGTGAGAAACATGGCAGCAAAGAGAAGGAAGGGCTTCCTCGCATTTGCTGCCTTGCTGGCATGCAGCAGAAGGAGCAACATGGTGCTGGGAAGAAGGGTTGTTCCAGGGCTCCAAGGCCACTGTAAGGAAGGGAGTCCATCACTGAAAAGGAAAAAGAAAAGGCTGCAACCCAGGCTGCAGACATGGCACGCCATGTGCACACGCTCGCCTGTGTGCCAGGCTGGAGCGGTATTTACGTGGGGGAAAATGGAGGTTAAGGCAAGGGGACCTTAGAACCGTAGAGCTTTATTAGAAACACGGAGTCCTTCCTGTCTGGCTCTCGAGGGCAGTGTTTTCACAGTCAGGTAGAATGTGAGAACTTCCACTGAAGGCCTATAGCCTCCCATAGACCCTCCCAACTGATCACGTCTCCTTACAGTTCCAGGCAGCCTCTGTCAGTTTCCACAGCATTCAGGATGAACCCAATACTTACACACCCCGGATTTCTTCTCCATCCAGAATTAGATCTCCAACCACCTCCTTGGGTTTTTTATTTTTTTTTTTTTCTGACTTGGATGCCTCATAGACAGGACATATCACAAGGGGTCCAGCTCTAAAATCTCAGTCTCCATCTTGCTCTCCTTGGCCAAGCCCTGCACATAACAACCAAAGGACTGCGCCACTGTTTGCTTAGGGACCCTGTTCCCAGCAGAGGAAGCATTTTCTCACGCTGTGTCTGTCTCCCCACGTCCTAGATGATCCATTGCCCTGGCCTGTTCTGTTCTTCCTCAGGTATGTCTCTCCGTACACTTCTCTCCTTTTCCAAGACAAACAACAACCCCCCTCACTCCTTAAACCACTTTATGTTTATTTTTTTTTCCCAGTTTTAAGATGTGAAAAACAGCTGCAAAGAACTTTCGGGCCTGGGATTCTTTGAGTGAAGGTGTGTGGTTGTGCTCCGTGGAGGGGTCCTGCGGAGTGTGACGCTGCACTCCCCGGAAGGACTCACAGGACTCCACTGAGCTGAGTTCCTGGAGGTCAAACCAGCACCACCACGTGGCCCGCAGGCCCCCCCGACCCCACCCCACCCCACCATGTATCATATTGTTGGCCTGAACTACCCGAGGCCCCGGCTAAACGGAGACAGTCTTGTCAGGCAGGACATACCGAAGGCTTGGAGGTTTCCTCCTGGAGCCCAGCTCATCAGACCTTTCTTTGTAACATGCAAGTTCTGAACATCCCAGACCTGCTGGGTCAGCGCTTTAGGGCACAAGTTTTCATTTCCCTGCGATCGATCCCCTGGGGGTTGAATTGCTGGGATGTGTAATAATTGCATGTTTTTGTTGTTGTTCTCCCTCCTTCCTTCTCCCTTTCTCCCTCCCTCCCTCCCCCCCTTTTTCTGTAATCCCACGCTGTTTCCCAGAGCAGCTATACCGTTTACCTCGCCGCCATCGATGCCTGAGTGACTGGTTTCTCCTTATCCTCACCAGTGCTTCCAACTGCTCTTATATTTATTTTAAGATGTTCTGATATATGTGTCAGACTATCTCACTGTGCTTTTAATTTTTTCATCTGCTTATTTGCCAGCTCTATACCCTCTTCAATGAAATGCTTGTTCATGTCCTTTGCCTATTTTGTAATAAGATTGTTTGTTTTCACTGTTGCATTTTGAAGGTTTTTTAACATTTGGATGCTACCTCTTGATTGGATATGTGGTTTGCAAATATTTCCCTCCAGTGTGCACTTTATCATTTCATCTGTCACAAAGCGTAGGTTTTAAATTTTCATAAATTATAATGTATACATTTTATGTAGATCACATTTTGGGGGTCAAGTCTAAAGCCCCTTTGCCTAGCCCTAGGTCCCCGGTTTTTCTCATAGAATTTTCCCCAATGTTTTACATTTTACATATGAGTGTGTTATACATTTGGAGTTAATGTTTTCATGAGTTGTGAGGTGTAGGTGTTTAGGTCAAGGATTTTTTTTTGTTTGCCTGTGGATATCTGACAGCCATACTCCCATTTAATGGAAAGGCCATCTTTTCTCCTATGAATTGCTTTCTACATCCGCTAAAAATCATTTGGGCTCCTCTATTTGGGTCTCTATTCTATTTCACTGGTCAACCCACCTATACCTCTGCCAGCATTACACAGAATTATTGACTATATAATAACTGTTAAAATAGGGGAGGTTTTATTCTGCTTTTGCAAAATTGTTATTCTAATTACTTTGCCTTTCCATATAAATATTTTTGAAGGGAAAAGTGCCTATTTTCATTTTTAAGAGTTCTGCAACTTGCTTTTTTCATTTAACAGCCTATCATTAACACCTTTCCATGTCAGTACCTACAGATCTATTTCATTTTAAAAGTAAAAATAAACATGACCCAAAACACAAATTCATAGTGTCGCATTGTACCAATGTACTGGAATTTATTTAACCCGGTCCCTTTTAATGACTATTATTTTCCCCCAGTTTTTTATTATTCTAAGTAATGCTGAAATCAATAATCATATTGCACGTGTATTTGCACAAATGTTCCCCATTTGCTGTCATTTGACTTTGCTTGTGGTACAGGCAACGATCAACTTTGTTTAAACTTTGGTCAAGTGTTTTAGGAGCACTTTCAGTGGTTTCAGTGTTGCAGCCCCGCCCAGCCACGTTCCTGAAAAACTAACGTAGTTCGCCCTGGAGCAGAGGAACGGCTCTGGGAAGGTCCGGCCGGGCGTCCGGGGGAATTACAAGTCTTTTCCAGAGCCCAGAAATGGCCAGAGCCGTCCTGGGAGTTGCTTGGCTTGTCTACCCCATTCCTGGCAACAGCCTAAAAACATTTTCAAGTTTCCTTTCTGCTGCCGGGGTCGCGCCCTGCCAGCCGGGAGCTTTGTGGCGAGCGCCGCATGCCACCCACCCGGGGCAGGGAGACGTGATCCCAGGTGGACTGAGAGGAGATCCGGTGTCCCAGTGGCCCGCAGGGCGTCCTCGCCGTCCCGCGATGGGATGTGTCCTGCTGACTTTCGTACTGGTTGGCGGGCGCCATCTGGCGGCCGCTTTTATGTAGTGTCTTCCCTCCGGAGCTCCCCTGAAATCTGCAATGGATGGGATGTGACTCCGGGGCCAGACGCCGACTTCCAGGAGGCCAGTGGCAGTAGCGGCATCATCCCGGTGGTGCCGAAGCATCGCGCATCATCTATTCGCCAAGATTAAACGTGCAGGGGTTTCCACCACTGCTTTCCCGGGCTACGTTATGGGAGGGGGCCGGGGCCGGTCAATCAGCCCCTGCGGATGCCTGCCGTCCCGTGGGACGGACCCGGACCGCTGCAGGGGAAAGGGAGAGGATTTCCTTCACGGACGCTGTCCACTACACGGTCCGGTCGTGGGAGGCGCCTCCAAGGAGTTTTTCCAAGTTCCACTCCAGAGACAAGACCTGCTCCTTCCCGCGGGATGGTTCAGGAAGGCATCTCCGGAGGAAGGGACTCCCACCAATTTTTCCGAGTCCCGCTCCGGGGGTGAGAAACAGCGCGGGCCGGACGGATAAATCCGTGTACAGCGCCTATCCCGAGTGTGGGTCTGTGTGGTACCCGGTGGTCGGAACTTCCCCAAATATTTCCAAGTCACTTCTGTGCAGCCGTGCCCTGGCAGGGTGGCCATAGATGAAGCCTGCAGGGGTCTTAGCCTAGCCTCCTTATCTTCCTTCCCGTCATCACAGTCTGAGGCAGCCCGGAGGTCCGTCCCTCAAGGGCGCAGCGGTGCGCTCTCACCGGCCTGGGACCCCAGACATCTCCGGGTGCGGTCGCGCGGTTGCTGCTGCGCGCCACCTGGCGGCCACTTTATGTAGTTTTCTCTGCTAGCTCAGGTGGAAGTGGGAGTGGGATCCGATCCGGCCCGCTGTCGTGATAGAGCCTGGGAGGCTGTCTGCAAGAGCGGAATCGTTCTCTTACGACTTTTTTTTCTTATAACGAGGGCTTTCAACATCTGCTTTCAAGTATGCAATACACTATTATCGATTACTGTCACTATACTAGCCCATAAGTTACTGTCACCTCATGGGCTCATGAGCAAAGTGGTCATGGTGTCAGGGATGAAGCCCTGCATTGCCTCAGCAACATGGATTTCCACTCACCAAGGCAGACCTGGCTACACCCACCACTGAGTGCCTAATCTGCCAGCAGCCGATACCAACACTGAGTCCCCAGTAGGGCATCATTCCCTGGGGCAATCTGCCAGCTAGCTACCTGGCCGCAGGTTGATTACATTGGAACCCTTCCAGATAGAAAATGCAGGGTTTATCCTTTCTGGAATACATACTTACTCTGGATAAGGATTTGCCTTCCCTGCACGCAATGCTACTGCCAAAATTACTATCCATGGACTTACAGGATGTCTTATCGACCATCCGGTTATTCCATGCAGCATTGTTTATAATCAAGGAACTCAGTTCGCAACAAAGGCAGCACAGCAGCGTGAGCCATGCTCATGGAATCCACTAGTCTTACCATGTCCCCCACCAACCGGCTTGAGGGGGCAGCAGAATGGCCTTTTGAAGACTCAGTTACAGCACCAGCTAGGTAGCCCTACCTTGTGGGGCTGCTACAAGGTTCTCCAGAAGGTTGTATATGCTCTGAATCAGTGTCCAATCCAGGGAGCTGTTTTTCCGATAGCCAGGCTTCATGGGTCCAGGAATCAAGGGTGGAGAAAGAAGTGGCACCACACCCATTACCCTCACAGTTCAGTAGCAAAACTGTTTATTTCGTTCTCACAAGTCTGTGTTCCACTGGACTGAAGGTCTTAATTACAGAGGGAGTAAGGCTTCCACGAGAAGCCACAACAATGATTCTACTGAACTGGAAGCTAAGACTGCCACTTGGCCATTTGGGGCTCCTCCTATCTCTGGATCAATAAGCAAAGACAGGAGTCGCAGTGCTGACTGGCATGACTGACCCTGCCTACCAATGGGAGAGTGGACTCTGCTTAACAGTGGAGCTAAGGGAGAGTGTGTCTGAGCTATAGGAGTCCATTTGGGCATCTCTCAGTATAACCATGTCCTGTGATCAAGGTCAGTGGAAAACTATAGCAACCCAATATGACTGTATTTGGAGATAGGGCCTTTAAAGCATATAACTACATTACATGAGTCCTTTGGATGGAACCTAATCCAATATGGCTGGTGTGCTTGTAAGAGGAGATCAGGTCACAGACACACAGAGGGAAGGCCATGTGAGGGCACAGCAAGAAGGTGCTTATGTGCAGGCCAAGGAGGGGGACCCCAGGAAAAAACAGCCCTTCTGACACCTTGACCTCAGACTTACAGCCTCCAGAACTATGAGCAAATAAGTTTCTGTTGTTTAAATAGCACAGTCTATCTTACTTTGTTGTGACAGCCCAAGCGCGCTAATCTAGTGACCATCTCATCTTCTGGGCACTCATGTTTCCATTGTAAAGCCAGGCCCAGGTACAGCGGCTCTGGAAAGACAGACATTCCCCTACTACCATCCACGGGCACTTAGGAGAGAACAGACATGCATCTGGGAGGGCCACCGTGTCATTGTGGGTATAAAGACCGCTCGTGATGAGTCCCACATGGTCTTCACTCATTCTCCCTCCATGCCCATGTCATCGGCACAGTGCTCATGGCCAGGCTGGCAGGGAAAATAGGGTGGTGAGTGAGGTCCACTTCTTGTCAGCCAGCAGACATGCAGGCTCCTTGTGCGCTGCCGGGGAGCCCAGCCACCTCTCCTCCCCCTCCTTTCCTGCTGCCTCTAAGTGCAGACCTCAGCACATCTCCGTGCTGGGCCCCAGGAAGGGGTTCATTGCCCGTTGGAGTGAGTGTTTCACTTTCCCCGTGGTGCACAGGAGGGTAAGCACCATGGAATGCTTCCCTCAGTTTTAGGAGGTCCCCTCCTTTATCGCCAACTAACCATCAGTGCAACTCATCAGGGGTCTCTGGTACAGCAGTCAAAGACCTCTTGCCCTTTGTCACCAAACACTTCAGTGACCAGGTCCACAGCCTGAAGGGTTGTACTCTGCATCTGGCCAGCCAGCTTACACAGACTCTCCTCTCTTTTTTTCAAAGAGCATCATGACCTTGTCAAACTCCCAGAAGAGAGTGAAAGGCCCCATGGTGTTAATCTATTTGGAGAACGCAGGGCAAAGCCCCATAGTGTGTGGTCTATTTTCTGCAACACAGATGGGCCCACTTTTGCAGGAGTTGCAGCTTTAGCAACAGGAACATAAATAAACTTCTTTACTTTATAAGATAGAAAATGTTCTCTGCCTGCCCGAGGGATTCATTCGAGCTATGAGTCCGCTGACCTTATTTCAAGAAAATCTGCTCAGCCAGCAAGGTGTCATTCATACAGTGAACACCTGAACATCAGAGAAAGGTTTCTAACCTCAGAAACACCCACAGCGCACACTGAAAAACCAACTACACGTTTGTACAACATTGTCTACCATGAATCAGACCAAGCCATACTCACAAGGATCTTGTCACTTTTTCTTCTCTCTTCATAGCAAATTTTTAGCCCAAACTCTACCAGGTACTTTTTTAATAGAAACACAGACCCAGAAGTTTTAACTAGGCTCACTGCTGTTACTGTGATTTCCTTTCCTGAGTCTAGGCAGCCCAGCCTAGGCTTTCGTCTGTTACTGGGATCTTGCTTCTTCTGTCCTAAGCCCTCCCCCGTCTCACTGTCCCAAGCTTTAATAAACATACTCTCAAAATCACCTGGACTTTTTCTTGAATTCTTCTTGCACAAAGTCAAGAACTCACGCATTCCAGACCGGGAGGGGGCAGACCCGCCTCGGCCAGATCCCTTTCCCGTGACAATGCTTGTTCTCTCCCAGGCAGGAAATCCCCTGTCCCCTGGCCCCATGAGCCCGGCAGAATATTCGGCAGTCCAATATTTTTTTGGTAGGTTTTTTTTTAATTTATAAAAAGTGTAATTGGGGATTCCCAGTAACTTATTGTCCAGGTTGGAATGAGGCACTGGACTGGGTTTTCTTCTCCATGCTGACGATGCTGGGCTGGGGCAGATGAGGGGCAGGCTGCCAGCTGAATGCCAGGTGCCGCCTCTGAAAGGGGCGGGCAAGGGGCAGCGAGCCAGCCTTGTGCTACCTGTCACCAATGAATAGAGACAAGGATTGAGTCTTTACGGGCACTTTTCTCAGATGCCAGCGGTCTGAGAAGATAGCAGGTTATGTACCCTCAAAACCGACTTAACATTTCATCTCAAGTAGAAGGTTATAAACGAGAAGAAAAGGGTATGTATGGGATTCTTAAAAATGGTTAATCAGATAAGAGTTGCAGTCCAGGGCGATTTTCCTAGGATTTCTTCATCAACTGATCAACAATTCTTTATCTTCCTCACTGACTTTCCCTCCCTGGGACACTGTGGCTCAGATAGTCCCCCACCACCACCCCGACCAGCCCCCACAACACACACACACCTTAGGACCAATTCGAGGAAGAACAGCTTTCCGTACGCATTAGTCACTTAAGCTTATCAACTATAACTACAGCTAAAATCTTTAACTCTTGAGCTCCCCTATCACCTACAGGGCACAGACCTTGCCTGGAGATGCAAGGTGAGCTGGGGAGTCTCTTGACAAGTGTCCCAGATAAGCATCCCGTGAGTGGGAGACAGGGAGACTTAGCCCAAAGGTGACAAAACCGGCTCAAGGTCACGTTGCTTCGAATTGGTGGAGCTCAGGGGGCTTAGTGACTCAAGAACTTTTGGCTGGGAGCCACCGAGTTGGGGCAGCAAGATCCCCAAGCCGCCCCAGCAGTCGCATGAGCAGGACGAGCCCCAGCATGGCAAAGTCCAGCTGGGCGATAAGCCGTCTAGACGCTGCCAGGGGCCAGGGGAGAGGCGGGGAACAGATCCTTGTGGCTTTCTTGGAAATCTGATTTCGAGGCGGTGGAGCCAAGCCTCTGTGGTTGTGTGGGCGGGACGGCAGGGCAAGGGGCGGGGACAATGCGAGACCCTCCCAGGAGCTTGCGGGAGGGGCGGGGCGAGCCTCGTTCTGACTGACGCAGAAGTTGGGCGCGCCTTGCCCAGAACTGTCGTAAAAGGGGGCGGGGCGGGGCGCGCTCGGGGCTGACGTAGCGGTAGGGAGGGTCGCTTGGGTCCACGGCTGGTGGGGAGAAGGAGCTATGGATCGCTATGGGGGCGCCTTCGAAGAGGCGGTGGATGGGACTCGGCAGCAGGAGCGCCACTACCAGCTACTGTCCGCGCTGCAGAGCCTGGTCAAGGAGCTGCCCAGGTAGGCGGCCGCGGGGCGGCAAGTGAGGCCCCTCCAGGTCCTGCCCGCGCTCACCGCGCCCCTCTGCCCGCAGCTCCTTCCAGCAGCGCCTGTCCTACACCACGCTCAGCGACCTGGCCTTGGCGCTCCTCGACGGCACCGTGTTCGAGATCGTGCAGGGGCTGCTGGAGATCCAGCACCTCACGGAGAAGAGCCTGTACAACCAACGGCTGCGACTGCAGAACGAGCATCGAGGTGCGCGGGGCGGTGGGAGGACGCCCGCTCCTCCTGCGGGGAGGTCAGCCTGCCCTGGGAGCTCTCGGTCTCAGAGGGCCGAGCCCTTCCCTGGGTGTCACTCGAAGTTCCTAAAATTGACCAGATGAAAGGCCGGAGGCTTTGCTAGAGCTTTTTTGGTGACAAATGGGTCAAGCCAGTTTTATTTTGTCAGTTGCGCCGGTCCCCTTTCAGCGTAACATTTGAAACTTCTTACTCGGGCTTCCCCGTGCTCCCACCGCCATCCAAGCAGGATGGCCCAAGACGCAGGGCAGATCCTGGTGACGGCGGTCTGCATGGCCTGTTCACCTCCCCCAGAGATGCCCCAAAGTGTCAGCAGTACTGTAGCGCCCTTTATGGTCAGCTTCCTCTCCTGTGGTCCAGGACCCCACACCAGCTGTCCATCGAATTCTCATGCGTTGTGTCCTCTGGCACCCTTTGGGACCCCAAATCTTAGTTACACACTGGGCCAAAGCCTTGTGAGCCTCGGCCCCTCCCAGGCATCCTCACTGGGCAGATGGTGCGGGGCAGTGGGGGGCCGGGGCCTCCCAAGCCCTTCCTGCAAGGCATGCTGGGCAGCTCTCCCTGCCCCATCAGATTTCCCACTTTTATTCTTTTACTGTTCCCCTTCTTGTTTGCAAAAAATAAAACATTTAGAAACGTTGAAAGAATAGTATAATGAACACTCATATACGCTCTGGCCAGATTCAATAATTAATGTTTTGCTGAAGTTCTTTATATCCCTAAATCTCTCCAGCATATAGGGCCCCACAACGAATGGTCAGAATTCCTCTAGAGCATGGTTTTCAACCACAGCACTGTTGATTTTTGTGGCTGGACAACTGTTAATGGTGAGACCATGTCCTGTGCATAGCAGGATGTTTAGAAGCATCCCTGGCTTCTACCACTAAGTGACAGGGCCTCCCTCCATGAGTCATGACAACAAAAAATGTCTTCAGACCTCCTTGGGGGTCAACATTGGCACAGGATTGAGAACCATTGCTCCGGGACAATAATGCTCTCCTGTGTGACCACAGTGGGTGGCCTCCCAAGAAACTGATCATTCAGGGGTGTCTTCCGACCTTCAGTCCACGGTCACATTACCTAGCTTGTCTCAAATTGTCTGTTCTTTGTAAGGATTTTTGTGTAGGTTCATGCATTGCAATTGGTTGCTCGGGTCTCTCGGCTTCTGGAACAGTCCCCGGCGTTTGTTGCAGCATTGACTTTTTGAAGACTCCAGGGCGTTCCACCTGCAGCACGTCCCGACTCTGGCTTTGTTGGATTGCGGCCTCGTGCTGTCATTTAACCTGTTTCTCCACCCTCTGTGTTTCCTGTAAAGTGGACTGCAGGTAGAGCCCAGTGATGTGCAGGGTACGTGTTTGTGGCTAGAAATTTTTCTAGGGATGCAGGGTCTCTTCTGTGTGGGGACAGGTGATACATGTCTGTCCCAGCATTAGTGTGTTTGAGAGATGGATGATGGCTTTGTCAAATCCTTATCATGCACCTGTTGAGATGATCAGTAGCTTTTTGGTTACTGTGGTGAATTACATTGATTTTTTTTTTAATTCATGGGATAAACTATATTTCAGAATAAATCCTATTTGGTCATGATATGTTATCCTTTTTTGTCTATGTTGGGTTTGATTTGCTAAAATCTCAAGAATGTTTGCCTCTGTTCATGGTGGACATTGCTCTGTAGTTTTCTTGTGGTGTCTCTGTCTGGTTTGGATATCAGGGTGATCATGCTGGCTTCACAGGATGAGTTGGGAAGTGTTCTCTTCAGTTTTCCAGGAGAGTTTGTGTAGGATCAGTAGAACTTCCCTGTTTGGGTGGTTGTCTTTGTAAACATTTCTATTGAGGTATAAGATGCATACATTCACAAACACAGATCCAAAATACATAGCTTATTCTTTTTTTTAATCCTCACCTGAGGATATGTTAATTGATTTTTTAAAAAATTTGGGACGTGGGGAGAAAGAAACACGGATGTGAGAGATACATCAATCGGTTGCTTCCCGCACGCTCCCCGACAGGGGACCAAACCCGCAACCCCTGTATGTGCCCTGAGCATGAATCGAACCCGCAGCCTTTTTGGTGCATGGGACAATGCTCCAGTCAGCTGAGCCACCCAGCCAGGGCTCGTTATTCTTTTGAATGCTCTCCCACAATGGCCAGTGGAAGAACTTCAGCCTGGCCCCTGTGTCTTTGTGATGCGTCCCCGTCATTCTTTGAGTACTTCCTTGCTTTCTGATAGAGGAAGGCATTCAGGCTCACCTTGTCCTGTTTTTTCCCTGTCTCGGCCCCTCTTCTCGTCCGCCAGCCTCCAGCGTTCCCAGTCTAACCAGTGTCCCAGTGGGAGGGGCCCCGCTTTATGGGGAGCCGTGGCCACTGGACACTTACTGGTCTAGGATTTGGACTGCGTAATGTTGTACGTTCCATTTTGTGATTGGTTTCTTTCCGTTCCATGATACCTTTCTCCTCTGTCCAGGCTTATGGGACTCCATGCCAACCTTCTCTGTATCCTTCCCGTTTTAGTGTACGTGCCACTGAAGCAAGCCCAGGGCTTGGTTCCATCTGGTGGGAAGGTTTGGATCACTCTCCAGCTAGACCCTTCGCTACTGTCCTTCGGAACATTGGGCAGGTGTTGGTGCTGCCGGCGATGGGCACGGGCTTGTGCTAATGTACAGTTTAGTGGGGCTCACGGAGCTTTGCTTATTGGCCAAGGTGAGGCCCTGGCAGAGCCACCCAGGCCCCGCACAGGTTCTCTGCTGGCTCATCCCAGCCTTGGGCGTCCCAGGGTCTGTGCCCACCCCCCTCCCTCTAGGAGTTGTGGAGTGGCTCGGCCCACGTGAAGGGCACTGCTAAGCAGGGAGCAGTGCTGCCATGCTCCCTTGGGCAGTGACCCCTCTCCTCATCCTCCTGTTCCAGACTTTTGCTTGGGTGGTCTCCTGGACATTTTAGTGGATGTCCCGTGATGAGCAGGTCACTCCCAGGACTGTTGGCCGGCGGCCATCGGAGTCCAGAAGCCTCCAGACCAAAGTCTCCCACTCCCATGCCAGCCTGCCCTGCCTTGCCCTCCTCTAGCACCCTATACCTTCCTGCGTCCCCTGGAGCCTCACTGCTGGAGAATGGCCTGCCCTGGGCGAGAGTGGGGCCAAGTGAGCTGGGAGGCCAGGTGTCCCCCGGAGCACCACCCAGCTCCTGGTGCAGGGCTTCGGGGGAGCTGGGTCTTCAGTTGGGGCCTCACGTCTGTGCCTTTGGCCTAGCTGCCCTGGGCCTCAGCCCGGCGCCGAGGTGGGGCAGGCGCTGAGGCGGGAAGTGGCCCCCGGCCCCTCCATCTCACCCCTGCTGCCTCCTGACGGACCCTCTGGTCTTGCCCCTCCCAGTGCTCAGGCAGGCCCTGCGCCAGAAGCACCAGGAAGCCCAGCAGGCCTGCCGGCCCCACAACTTGCCCATGCTCCAGGCAGCTCAGCAGCGTGAGCAGGAGGTATGGGTGCGGGCAGGGTGGGCGCCACCGGGCTCTGCTGGCAGGGCATGGCGGGGGGCACAGGGGGCCTTGAGAGCTGCCGGCTGCCCTGGGCCTCAGCCTGGGGTGGGCTGCTGGAGGCCTGCCGAGCTCTTTCATGTGGATTTTCACCTGGGGTGTTAGGGTGTGTGATCCCCTCCACCTGCTCCCTGAGATTGCAGCTCCTGGTGGCCTGAGCCTGCGCAGGGCAGGTGCTGAGTAGGGGCCATGGTGCGCATGGCCTTGGAGGGGCACGGGCAACGGTGGGGTGATGGGGACAGTCAGCAGGGGCCCCTCCTGCTCCCAGGTTACTCAGGGACATCCAGGGAGCCTGCATGTACCCAAGAAGCCGTGGGTGGTGGGGGTGCATGCAGAGATGCGCGTGGGTCCCCAGGCAGCTGTAAGGCTGGGCGCGCAGGGAGGAGGCGCCAGGCTGGAACCTCAGGCCGCCCCAGTGGGGAAGAAGTGCACACAGAGGCCCAGAGATGGTGGCCAGCTCGACGGTGAGCAGAGGTGGCACGGGCGACTGGCCAGTTCATGGTGGTCCTGAGCTGTCAGCGCCGGGCAAAGCCTAGCGCAGGCAGGGGAGGACACGGGCAGGAGGTCCTGGAGAGAAGAGCATTGGGGGCGGGGCAGCAGGCGCCCCTGGAGGGTTTGGTGGGCCCAGGGAGCGATCTGGGTGCAGTAAGGCTGCCACCAGTGGCCCTGGAGCCTGAGCTTTTGGGAGGGCGGGGAGGTGACAGGCTGGGACCCCGTGTCTGAGGCACTGATGAGTCGGGCTGAGCCCGAGCTGTGCCCCTGAGCCGCCCTCCCTGTGGCAGGCGATGGAGCACCGGATCCGTGAGGAGCAGCGGGCGATGGACCAGAAGATCATCCTGGAGCTAGACCGGAAGGTGGCAGACCAGCAGAGCACCCTGGAGAAGGCGGGGGTCGCTGGCTTCTATGTGACCACTAACCCGCAGGTCAGTGCGCTGGGCCTGCCCTGGCACGGCCCAGGGGATGCCAATCCCCAAAGGCCAGGTTCCATCTGGGGTTTTAGGGCTGGTTGCCGGGGTGGGGGTCGCTGGGGGTGTGGGCGGCAGGGAGGGCTTAGACCCCAGAAAGGGCTTCCATGCAGTGCTCAGCACACAGGCTGGCCCCAGCGCCTCTGCCCAGCGGGGGCAAGCTGCCGGGCTGCCGGGGCAGTGCACCCCTGGCCAGCACTGCCGCGCCTGGAGGGCCCTCTTCTCCCCTGCGCACACCTCTGCGCGCCAGGCCGGGCCGCTGCAGGCACTGCTGCCTAGTGGAATCCCAGCCTCGGGTGGGCTGTGGCCGGGTGTCACTGGAGTCAGCCCTGTGGGGTGGGCTCGTTGCCTGGCACAGGCTAGGCCCTGATACCTGCTTCTGGGCCCTGGGGAGGAGGCGGCTTCCACCTGGAGCCTTTGCCCAGGTGGGACCAGGTGTCATTCTGGCCTCACAGTGGCCCCTCTGCATCCCAGGAGCTGACACTACAGATGAACCTGTTGGAACTCATCCGGAAGCTGCAACAAAGGGGCTGTCAGACGGGGAAAGGAGCCCTGTGACCAGATGGGGCCCCTGCCGGTCACCCGCTGCCCGTCCTGGCTGGGAAGACAACCCTGTCCCACTGCCGCCACAGGCAGCAGGCAGCTAAGGAGCCCGTCTTCCCGACTGCTGGCCACCGCCTTCCCAGGTGCCTGCGGCAGGGGTCAGCCACCCCTCAGAGGAGGGGCAGGGTGGACCCCGGCTGTGTCTGCCACCCGCCTTCGTCTGGGTGTTAACGTCTAAAGCCAGAGCCGTGTGGCACAGGCTCTGCCCCAGAGCTGGGCACGGGTGGGGCTGGAGGTCCTGGCAGCTTCTCACGCCGCCAGGCTCCCGGGGACCTCCGCCGGCCCCAGGCCCTGCGCTGCTCCTGGCCTCGGCCCCACCCATGGTAGCTGTGGCCCCCACGTAGGAGGGGCTCCGTGGCCCAAACCCTGTGTGGCCCAGGGAAATAAAGGTGCCTCAGTACAGCCTGCGGGTGGCTCGTGTGTTGGCTCCGTGGCGCCTGTCATGACCAGGGCACAGCTGCAGCCCTTGCCTGGCGGCCCCATGGCCTGCAGAGGGACTGGCCGAGGACGCCCCCTTTCCCCTGGGGCCCCGGGACCACTTCAGTCTGCTCCATGGGGCTGGCCGCTGAAAAGTGGGGGGCGAGGGGGACACAGCCTTGGGCCTGTTCCTGTCAGAGCAGCAAAGGCCTGGGCTCGGTTGTGGGCACGGCACAGGGTTTGAGGGAGGGAGAGACCCGGGATGGGCAGCAGCGACCCGGGGGAGCATCCTGTCTGCTTTGGCCTGAGCCTCATGGCCATTGTCTTGGGTTGTGGGGTTGGGGTGCCCAGTGCCCTGCATGGCAGCGTCTGTGGTGCCGCCCAAAGGGAGGTGTGGCCTGGCCCCAGGCACACGCCGTCCTGGAGGCAGGGGCTGAGGTGAGATTTCTCAGGCCGTGGGAGCCACTCCCTCGCTGCTGCTGACTGCACCTGAGGGCCCCACAGGAAAAGGCTCTGAGGGCTCTTAACTGCAGAAATAGTGGTTTATTGATCAGCCTTGCTCAGCACGGCCACTGTCCACCCGGGGGGCTTTAGTTATGTGGGTTAGGCCCTGGTGGAAGGTGGGCTTTGGGTCCAAGGTCATAGGGGTGGACGGAGATGGGGCAGTGCCCACTCAAAGGGCAGTTCCTGACGTTTCGGTGGCTGTGGCAGGCATCAGACTGGGACTACAGCCGAGTGCCCACACCCCGCATAGGGGCCAGGGTCTCACACAGGCCCCGCTTAGAGCAGGTCTCGGGTGTAAAAAGGTGAATCCGTGAGGCTGGGCTACGGCCTAGGGAGCACCCAGACCCCACAGATCCCGCCCCAGCCTGAGGGCTCTGGGAGGCCGAGTCGGTGGCAGGTGGCAGTGTTGGCGGCCCAGGGCGCTAGACTGGATGGTAGAAGAGGTTGCCTGTGCGGAGCCTCCGCTTGAGCTCTTGCCATAGCAGCTGCCGCTCCCGCTGGGCGCCCGTCATGACACTGCTGTTCTCCAGGGCACGGCGGGACAGGTAGGGCAGCACCTCCATCACAGGGCCGTAGGGCACATACTTGTACACAGGGAAGCCTGCCTGGCCTGCGTGCACAGGAAGAGGCAGTGAGTCCCAGCCCCGCCCCCCGCACGCACACCCCCAGGGACACCCGGCTCACCCAGCGGAAAGCTGATCTGGTCGCACATGCCTAGCAGCTGTCCAAAGTACACCTGGTGATCGGCGGGGTGCAGGCTCAACTCCTCCATCCTGAGACCAGGCAAGGCAGCTGGTGAGCCCCGGGCCGTCGTGCTAGCTCTGAGCCCCCCTTGCGCCCTCCGGTCCCCATCCACATGCCCTGCCCGCCGTCCCTTGCAGGGTGGAGCGTGGGCACAAGCTCCGTCCTGCCCAGACTAAGCCTCTGCCCTGCAGCTCCTGCCTCAACCTACAGGGAAGGAGGTGGCTGGTGCTGCAAGTGCGAAACACGTGGGCTGTGAAGACTTAGTTTGGAAAAAGAACGCCGAACGTCTCGTTTGTTTTTCAGAAATACCAAATATGTCTTTAGATGGTAATATTTTGAATTTGTTGAGTCAACTGCAATGTATTGTTGAAATTAATCTTTTTTTTTAAAAACCAGAGCACAGAATTGATAGATGTGGCTCACACTTCTGTGAGCACCCACAGATGTTGGTGGGGGCCCTGGCCGCTGTCTGCACCCTCTCCTGCCCTCACCCCTTCCTTCATAGGACCGTACACGCATCCCCAGGGTTTGAAATACCTACTTGAGGACCCCGTTTTTACCTCCAGCCCCCTGCAGCCGCATGCCCAGGCTTGCCTGCCCGCACCAGCACCGCCCGGGCTGCAGGCCAGGCCTGTGCCTCCCTGCGCCCGCCCCAGGCGCCCCCTCACTTCCCTGCCGCAGGGCCCCGCAACCCACGCCGGGCTCCCGGGGCGTCGGCAGCACGGGGATGCCGGACCTCTGCCCGCGGGCTGTCCGTCAGGGCCGGGGCTGCCCTGTCCGAAGTGGCCCGATCCCACCATGTCACCATGGTCTCCAGTTCTGCGTCTCTGTGCCCCACTAGAACAGGACCCTGTGAGGACACGGCCGCCACTGTGTCGTGAGGGGAGCCCCCATGGTGTCCTGCAGGCGGCTGCTGGCCCTCCCCCGTCAGTGCCCTCGCCCTCTGCCTGTGGCTGCAGCCTCTCCCAGCGCCGGATGGCAGCCTCACGCCTGCCCAACAGGACAAGAGCAGATGGGATGTGGGCAGAGGCTTGCCCTCTTCAGGGCTTCCGGAAGCCTGAGACCACCATGTGGCAAAGCCTGGGCAGGCCTGTTGGACACTGGACAGGAGATGCAGCCCCTTAGCTGCCCTGGCCACAGATGAGGCCATTTAGGGCCCACCAGGCCCCCGCTGGGCCCAGTCCACACTGCCGGCCCTCAGAGCCCACTGTTGCCGGCCACCAGGTTTCTGGTTGGTTTGTTACTTGGTCAAAGCCGACGGCTGAGGCCCCTGATGTCTGATCGGAGGCCCGCACTCTTGCCGGGGGTGGCAGGTCTGAGCTGCTGAGGCTCTTGAGCCCCCAGGGCAGGAACTCAGGACGGTGGTGGTCGGGCTCCTGGGGGCTGTGAGGAAGGAGGGCGCCCTGCCGGTCCTCAGGACGGGGCAGCCTGCATCCAGGGCAGGGGGCTGCTGTGGCCAAAGTGGTGCGGACAGATGTGTTCTCCGGGGGAAGATGCAGAGGAACGGCATCCGTCAGAGGCAAGCTCTGCATTTAGGGGTTTCACGGCCCGCTGCCCAGTCTGAGTGGACTGGCCTGAGATCCCCACTGTAAGGTGAGTGCCAGCGAAGACTGCCAAGTTCGTAACTGAAACCTATGGAGTGGCACCTTCCACCCCGCAGGCCCTGCAGGGCCCACCACTGCAGGCGGGCCGGTCCCCAGGGGCTGGGCTCTGCGGACACCGCCCAGAGGAGGACCCTGGTGCCAGGGGGGTCAAGCCTGATCAAGGTTCCATCTTTGAATCCTAAGGGAAAGCCACGTTTCAAAATTTGCAATTCCCATTGTGTTCATTTTAACAGTTGAAGCCAGAACTAACCTTTGCTGAGCAAAAAAGGTGGCCCTCCTACATCTAGTGACAAGAATGGGGCTTCCAAGGAGGAATATAAGGGCCTAAGAAGTCCCCAGGGGTGAAGGAAGTCCCCAGAGGTGAAGGGACGAAGACAGCTGGGGCTCCGCTCTGCCCCAGGGGTGCTCGGGAGGGAGCCTTGGTGCTCCTCTTCCCAGGAGGGACGGCTGCAGCTGCCGGGGGCGTTGGAAATCATGGTTTTCAGGTGCCATTTCAGACTGAAAAAGTAGCACCGTCGTGAACAAAGCATCAATGGTGACGTGACTGGGTTTAGGACAACCAGTCAGCGCTCCAGCTGCACCCTCGCTGCTCCTCGGGGAGGCCCCACCAGCAGCAAGTCCTGGGCTTGCGGTGCTCCTGCTGCGGGACAGGCCCCTGCTTTACCCCTGGGAAACGTGAGGGCCAGCAAGACCCCGCGCAGGGCCTGAGCCTGAGGAAGGCAGAGGCGGGGAGCCGGGAGCTCTGCCATGGTGCTGCTTGGGTCAGGGCGGGAAGTGAAGGAACATGGGATACCGAAGGATCTGCTTCACCTCATTTCTGTATTTGACTTATAAGGATTCCACCAGACACGGTGCTGCTCCATGGTGGCGGTGGTGGGGGAGGGGCTTGTTTACAAAGTGGCCATGCATCAGAGGCCTGAGGTGTTCCAGTATTTCACACTGTCTTTGGGCATTTTAATAAGCTGTTTAAGTCACCTAATAAAATGTATTATTTGAATTTGAAACTTCAATAAGTAAGTTATTAAGTTCAAAAACCCAATTAACTGCAGAGAGCCTTTTGCTACAGTAGAGCCAACGCCCAGCTGGCCCCGGGTGGGCAGGGGGCTGGGAAGCACCACAGCTGCCGCTCCAGCCTGCACAGAGGTTCCCCCCAATGCCTACCCTGTCTGGCAGGTCACCCTGGACACGCCTCCAGACCTCGCCCGAGCCCGGCCCTGACCGGGGAGCATCTGACCAGCTGTGGGAGGGGGTTGCACCTACCTGCGCAACGTGAAGCGCACTGTATCCTCGTTGTGGGAGGCCACCATCACCTTGGCTTTGGCATTGTGCTTCAGCTCCTCCAGGACGTAGTTGAGGCACCTGGGGAGAGTGGCACGTGAGCCTGGGCCTGGAGCAGTCCCCAGAGCGGGAAGGCTGCGGGCAGGCCCAGGGCCACGCAGTGAGCACACCCCTCCCGGAGGTACCCGTGGCGGAAGGACCAAAGCAAGGAGTGCTTGTCCCTTGTGAGTAAGAAAAAAGGTGAGCCACTCAGGGGCTAGGTACTCAGAGGGAAGTGTGCCCTGCTGGATGCAGCTTTGCTTTGGGAAAGGGCCTTCTACGAAGTGTAAGACGGTGGGAGGGGGCGGTACTGGGGGAGCGCTGAGTGGTGCCTCTGTCTGGCAGTGACAACTCAGCTGGGCCCTTGTTCTCCGACCCAGCCGCCCTGTCTCCAGCAACAGCTGCGCCCTCACCATGGGCGCACAGTCAGGGATGGCGTGCCCTGGATCACCTCTGACAATGGGATGCCAACCCACCCTAAAGCTCACAGGGAGGCACAAAGGCACAGGCACCCTGCGCGGGCATTAACGGTCTGCGCGCTGACCCGGGGGAATCCAGGTGCAGCTTTACCGGAAAAGCACAGGCAGGAGACCGAGGGCACCACGGCAGCCCCCGTGGGGGCCGCACCAGCAAGGGCGAGGCGGTGAGGGGCAGACTCGGGCCGCTCTGAACCTACGTCACTGCCACACAGCCTCGGAGAGGAAAAGCACGAGGTCGGCCTGTCCCTACCGCACCAGCAAGAAGATACAGAACAGGCGGCCCAGGAAACCAGGTGAGCACAGTGTGGGGAGGGCCACTTGGCCACCAACAGAGGCTGCCAGGCACCCAGTCTAGTTTTGTTCAGTCAGCTTTTCTATATTAAAAAGCCACCTTCATGTGTTTGAAAAAGTAAAATTAAAGCCGTGAAAACAATCAGTTCAGGCCTCAGGGCAAAAGTCTTGCTCCTGCCGGAGGCTTCTGACCTCCAGGGCTGCGCCCCCCTCAGATGGGGGTCCCTCAGGTCAGCACCAGCAACTGGGGTGACGCTTCCCTCTCCGCGCCCTCCCTCCCCTCCCCAGGCAGCTGGGGCTCTGGGACCGGAGGAGGACTGGCGCACCTGTGGTACATGGCGTTGGTGGCCTCGTACGTGGGGTTGATGGGGTCCTCGTAGCCAGTCTCCGCAGCACGGGCCCGCTCCTGGGCCATGTATGCTCCTCGCACCAGCTTGGCTCCAAAACACCAGCCCTCACGGCGGGCCAGTTCCACGTCCAGGGTGACGTTGTCATAGGCATCCTGCAGAGGCAAGGCCAAAAGTCAGAAACCAGGGCAGCGCCTTCCAGCCGGCACCCCCTAGGGCCTCCCTGGGCCCAAGAACATAGGGGCACAGTCTGCGAGGGGCACCAGGGTGGCAGCAGCTGGCCGAGAGGGGTGCCCGGTGCCCTGTGGGTTGCTCATGGGGCCTGGGAGACAGGTGTGGGCGAGGGAGACCCTTTGGCCTCTGTCCCCAAGGAATGGTGACAGCAAGGCCACCGGCATCCTCTTCTATTGGGCCTGGAGGCAGTCCTTTGAGGGGACAGGCCAGGTGCCAGCAGCCACGGTGCATGCCAGTCTCCTCAGGCTGACTTGGGGGTGGGCTCCTGCCTGGAGAGCCCCCCACCCTCACAGCCTCAACACCCACTGCACCCCACGGCCTCTGAACACCTCACTGGTCCCCAGGCAGCCCGTTCTGGGTCTGTGCTCAGGGTCCACCCCCCTCCCCCACCCCGCCCCAGGGCATCACTGAGGGACGTGGCCATTCTAGCCCGGTCTCTTTCTGGAGAAGGGCCCAGAGCTTTCATCAGATTCTTAGAGGGACCCGAACTAAGGGATGGGAGAAAATGGTCATTAGTGAAGGCTCTGAAACCTGGGCATTAAAACACATGACGTGCGCCCTAAACAAGCGCCTTTCCCCTTCCACACCCTTGTCGGGATCTGGGGCCCACAGCAGGGCCAGCCTCTCCTCCGTGCCGTCACCGAGCGTGGAGAGACCACGGGCTGTACGTACCCTGAGGTAGCACTGGTACGTGTTGAAGATGAGCGGCTTCTCCACGTTGAACTTGCGCTGCATTTCCAGTGTCAGGCGGCTGATGGCCGGCTGGAAGTAGGTCTGCTCAGCGTCCACCATCAGCCGCACCTCCATCTCCATGGCTTTCTTAGAGGTCAGGGTTGGGAGAGAGGGTTTGTTGGGGGCTCAGGCGAGACGGGTGCCCCCCAGCCCCCAGGCGCATCCCAGGCCCTCGACCTTGGCCAGGATATCCATCCTCTGCAGCATCCTCGTCATCTGCCGCTGCTCCTCCTCGGTGAACCCTGAGAGCAGGGGCTCCAGCTGTCCTGTCTGCGGGGCAGCGTGCAGTCAAGGCCTGGGACCACGCCCCTTTCGTAGACAGTGCTCCCCCCACCGCTGGCCCAGAACCCTACCAACACCTGTTGCCTGGTCCCCAGGACCAGCCAGATGCCCTCATCCCAGCCCCTCCTCCAACCTGTCTGGGCACGAAGATCAGTGCCCTGCCCTGAGGCCAGCTGGCGACCCAGCGGCAAGGCCACTTAAAGGCGTAACCTCACAGCCAGCCAGCCAGCCAGCCAGCACGCTCCTGCCCACAGAGCCAGCCGCCTCAGGTCAGACCTGCCCCCAAGGCATCTGCCCCCACAACCTCCCCAGTACCCCTTGCGATCCCCGCTCTGCTCCCGCACAACTAAGGAAGCTACCCTCGATCCATCCAATCACTGGGACAGCCGCAATGCCCAGCAGAGCATGGGCTCAGAGAAAGAACTGGGGCTACGGGAAGACAGGGACAGCCTGCAGCACAGTCTGATGGGGCGGAGGCACCACCCCCAGACGGTGGCCTTCAGGGAGCTGGGCAGCTTGGCAATGGTCTGGCGCTCAGAGCCAGTGAGCCCACACTCTGCAGGCCCCCTGCTTGCTCCACCTGCCCGCCGCCCTGTCCAGGGGGCTCTGGGGGCAGGGGGCCCACAAGGGGCCAAGGCTGGAGGTGTGTGAAAGGCAATGTTTGCCTCTGCTGCCTGTCCACACCCCAGCTGAAGAGGTGGTTTCAATGCAGCTACAAGTTCCTGGATACCCAGCCACAGGCAGGTGGGGTCTTGTGTCCCCGCAAGCACAGGCCAGCCTAGTGACTCGGCACAATTGGGCAGAGGTACTGCTGTGGGACTTCTGGTACTAGGCTAGAAAAGGTGACAGAGCTTCTGCCTGGTTCATGGGGACACACACTGGGAACCCAGCGGCCACACGGTGAGGAAGCCCTGGCCGACAGCCGGCCAAGCAGGGACCCTTCAGAGTGACCCCAGCTCCTGCCGCCCTCTGAAAGCAACTGCAAGGGAAACCCTGAGAACCACCTAGAACCACAAAGAGGAGGAATATGTGTCAGCCTTCCAGGCCAGCGAGGTTGGGGTGACCCAGTGTGCAAGGACAGATGATGTGGGGGAGGTTCCCAAGACGCCCCCTCCTCATGGGTCTCTGTCCCTCCCCGGGGGCACTGGTAGGTCTGTCTGCTCCCCCTGGACCGCAGGGTCCCATGGGGCTGGGAGCCCAGCAGCCTTGGCCCGGGGCAGGCTGCAGGGAACACAGCCCCTCCTGGCCCCGGTGTCCTCTGAGACAGGGCTCGGCGGTGAGAGGGGTGGCGTCACCTGCATGTTGGGGACCACCAGGTGCTTGGAGAGCTCGGTCCTGCTGTCGATGAGGCTGCTCCAGTCCAGGAGGTCCAGGGTGCTGCGGGAGAAGGGGGGCCAGAAGATCAGCGGCGGCAGCTTCTCCAGCCAGCCAGGCAGCCTGACCCCCGGTGCCAGGGTCCGTGGGAAGAGCCAGGCTCAGGAGACCAGGCAGAAGCAGGCACAGCGTGCGAGCACAAAGCACCCTGTTGCCAGCCCAGGGGCCCCGGTGCCCTCAGTCCCAGCCCCCAGAACCCTAAGGATGAAGCCAGGGACTCTGCCGGTCTCAGCTGCCCTGACCCCTCACCCATCTGCCGGGAGGGGCCCAGGGACGGCGGGCACTCCTGCGAGCGGCCCAGCCACCTGGCCCTGAGCCCCAGCTGCCGGCCCTTATCCGGGGACTCCGGGTTCCCTGTCAGCTCCCACTCTGTGCGTCTCAGGGGACTACCCCAAGGCCCACAGACTTGAGGAGGGCGACCGGGACTGGGAGAGGCTGCGGGACTCGGCCGGAACCGTGGCTGAAGAGGGGCCAGTGCTCCCACCTTCTCAGCCAGGTGCTGCTCTTACCCGGACACGCCGAGGGTCTCTGTGGTGAACCAGCTCTCAATCTCCTTCTTGGATGCGATGCCCATCTTCGCCACGCTTTCCTTGAGAAGTGAGAGGTGTCGTCGGTCCCCTGGCACCCCCGAGCCCCACTCACTAACAGGTAGTGCCTCCTGCCTGATGGTTGGTGGGTGATCTATTTCACTTGACACACCGTCAGTGAGAACGGGACACGGTTCAGGCTACGGTCCTGACCCACAGGGGAGCCTATCCCCACAGGTCCCCAGTGCCCTGTTCCCCGTGGGGCCGCGCCTCCACCCGCCTCCTGTCCAGTGCGGCCTCGGCCTCAGGCCAGATTCCTCCCCAGCCAAACCCGAGCAGCCTCAGGGTGGGCCGCAGGCCCTGGAGCAGCCCTGGGAGCCCGCCTCAGGCACGCCCCGCCCGCTCCCCCGGGGCCGGGCACCTCCCCAGCCCTCCGCGTCCACCACTCACGCCACCAGGGAAGGGCTGCCCACCTGCAGCGCGGTCACCTCCAGCTTCATGTCCTTGGCGGCCAGCCCGGCCTTCCCTTGCTCGGCGGCCATTTGGTGAAAGAACCGCCTCCACTTGGTCAGCACATCTGAGAACTGCAGCTGCGAGTGCAGGCCTGAGCCCCCGACCCGGGCGCGCGCCCAGCTGCCTGCCCCCGGGCCCCGTCCCACCTGTGTGCCTGGCTCCCGGCCCCAATGTACTGGCACATGAGCTTTCACTTAATGCTCATGTTGCCCCCAGGTCCTGCAAACTCTCTGTGCACACGGAGGTTTCCAGCACTTACCAGAAACTGGGGTCTCCCCAGCGCGGTGAGCTTAATGGCTGAGAAGCCATCATCACTGACTCCACCTGAGGGAAGCCACAGGGGGGCCCTTAGGGCTCAAGGGGCGGGGCGGGGGCGGACCCGGCGCCTGTGCTCACCCATAACCTCAGGGCGCACAGCCGCTCCCCACGCCCTCCCTGGGGGTGGGAATGGTGGCTCACTGCCACGTGGGTCAGGAAGGCGGTGGGGGGACCTGCCCATTCCTGCTCAGCCCTGAGACCACCCCCTCTCCCTGCCTCCGTTTCCACTCCTGTGCCATCAGTACCCGGGCTGCCCAAGGGGGGCTCACAGAACACAGGGACATAGAGCAGAAGGCAGGCTGGAGTGTGGGAGGTGCTCAGACACTACATCTGCATCTGTCCTCTGGCTTCTGGAGTGCATTTTTGCTTCCGTGGGGGCCTCCTGCCTATTTGCCCCCAGGCAGAGTGGGCAGGGAGGCACCGAGATGCCCCTGGCACTGGGTACTGGACAGCCAAGTGTCTGCCTGACCGGCCAGGGTCTCCCCAGCGCCACTCTCAGAAGGCTGCTTCTGATGGTCGCTCGCTACCATTTCTCAGTGTTCGCAAAGTGTGGAACCGACTTTCCCGTCAAGGGGAGCTGCTGAGGATGCACAGTGGGAGCCACTGTGAGCTGGTAGGTTTCAAAAGACTACAGGACACGAAGGCCTCAGTGACCTCCCCACTTAACCAGCGTCCCTTGGCAGGTGCTCCCGTCCCAAGCTGTGTGCGGAGGAATTCACTAAAGAGGCTCCGGCACCAGCTCCCTCAACGGTGCGGCCCTCGGCACACCCGTGTGCGACCAGAGTCTCGCTCCCACCAGCACTGGGGGCCGCTAGCCCACGGACAGCCTCCCTCCCAAAGGTCCACACCGGGGACCTGGTACTGGGAAAGGGGTGGGAGGCCCCCTCCTGCAGGCAACCAGGCTCTTTGTGGAGGTGCTGGATGCAGGGGTGACCCCAGTGTCACTTAGGCCTAGACGGTGGCTCCCCCACATCGCCCCAGGTCATCCGCACGACTGCCTGGGCCGCCCCGACAGAGAGGGAGCCCTGAGTGAGCGCTCCAGTCCCAGCTGCCCATTCACCCACCACAGGCCCACGTGCCGCCAGTCGGCCCAGGCTGGGCCTGGCCAGGGGGCAGCCAGCAAAGAGCGAGGCCCCACCTGAAGCCTCAATGCAGCGCAGGAACGTCTCCATGTGGCTGTCACACTTGGCTTCACTGGAGTAGAAGTAGGTGCGGGCGCTGATGACGCCATCCCTGCGATCTCTGAAGGTCCGGTGGGCTTGGTCCTGCTTCTCCGTCTCAGTGGCGCCTGCAAATGGCCTGAGCACTCACCCGGCTCTGCGCCTGGCTCCAGCCTCAGGCCCAGCACACACGATGCCCCACAGCCCTCCGCAGCCCCACACACTGTGCCGCCGGCTGTTTGCCAGCGCCCGGTGCCCCCGACCCTGGACCCGCTGCCCCTCCCTGGAGCAGACCTGGCCCAGGGAGGCAGAGCCCAGCGAGGGCTGTGAGGATGCGTCCTTGGACGTGGGTCGGAACTCAGCACCACCACTGTCCCCTGGGCTGATGGCCCCTGTCCAGGTCCCAGGTCATGGTTGGGGGAACAGGGCGGGGGCGGTGGAGGTGAGGGCATCTGTTGGCGAATGGCCACCTCTTACCTCTGTCCTTCCTCTCTGCCGCTGAGGTGCAGGACCTTCGGGAAGGAGAGGGCAAGGGTCAGGGTCATGCCGCCTCAGGCACAGCTGACGAGTACGTACCCATCAGGTCAGAGAAAACTAGAGGCTGAGCCCTGATCCCAACCACGGAAGGCTCTGTGAGGGGGGCAGGGTCAGCCAGGGCAAGTGAGAGCTGCCTCCTCGGAGCCGGGAGGGGCAGCAGCCTCCGCACTGACCTGGCCTCCAAACCCTGCCTGCACCCTGGAGAAGCCTCAGGTTCCTCAGGGGTGGAGCCCCTCCAGAGCGGGGATGAGAAGTAAGACCACCCCCTAGAGGAAGTGTTCTCTGAATGGCCCTGAGCATGGAGGAAGCCCTGGAAGGAGCGCCTGCCGAAGTGAAGACAGAGCTGTGGGGCCGGGCAGGGCTGGAGAGAAATGGAGACAGGCAGCCCCCAGCGTGCACAATTCCCCAAATCGACAAGTGAGCCCCCTTGCTTTACCCTCCGCCCCCACGTCCAGGCACCCCCAACCACCGGGGGCCCAAGGCTGGCCTCCCCCCACCCCCCACTGCCAACCCCACCTCCAAACACCCTGCTTTGTTTTTGTCCCTCGGGTTTATTATCAAGCAGCAACCAAGCTTTTCTTTTAAATTGAAAACCCTCCCATCATATCGGAATAACACCCCCAGGGCTCATGAGGACAGGACAGCAAGGACAGGGCAGTGAGGCCAGCCCTCCGCCCTGGCTGCCCCTCCCGACCAGCGCGACCATCGCGACCAGCGCTCAGCAGCCACACTGGCCTCTCCACTGTCCCTCAGCCACGCCCTGCCCGGCCCTGCCCGGCCCTGCCCAGCCCGCCCCCACCTCCTCCTCCCAATGGCCGTGGAGCCTGGGACAGCAAGCGTCACGGCTAAGTCTTCCGGTGAAGGGAACGCTCCCATTGCTGCCACCAGGCCCAGGGGTGGCACCCCAGCAGCTTTATCTGTCATCGGAATTTGTATGACAGCTCTTAAGCCAGTTAGTGCAGTTAGCCTCCCAAATGGACCGGCCAGGCGGGGCGGGGCCTGCAGCTCCACTCCCATCCCCCAGGGGAAGGGCGCTGAGTTTGCCCCCGGGGGGCACTTTGGGCCCAGGTAGAGCCAGGGAAGCTGCTGAGAGGTACCTGCGCCTGCGGTGGCCTCACCTGTGCCAGGAGGCTATGGCGACTGTCACCTCCCTGCCCCCAGAGCAAGTCCTGGGCCGCCCCTCTACCCCCGAATGAGCTGTCCCTCCAGATCTGGCTTCTGTACAACCCCAGGGCTGAATCCTGGACCAAGGCCTAGGTCAGGACACAGCGAGGCCGGGGGCTTCCCCACGCACTGGTACAGCCCACGAGGCCACAGCCTGGGGACAAGAACGGAAGCTACTGCTCTGGCCACCTCGTGCCAAGCAGAAGCAAGTGCTCTGCTTGATGTAACAGCAAAGAAGAGGGCGAGGTATGTGACAACGTTGGTCCCACCTGCGACCTCCCTGCAGGAACAAGGAGCTCCCGTCCCCACCTCCAACCTGAGGCCCCTGGGCAAGATCATCTACGAGACCAGCCCCCAGCCCTCTGAGCTGTGGCCCAGGTACAACCTGTAAAACACATCCACTGATGTGGAGGCACGACATGGGAACCCACTGTGTGCATAAGGCAGGGGCCCAGTCAGCAAGGGGACTCGGGCCTGCTCCGTAACCACACATATTCCCCCGCTCAGATAAGACGGGCATGAACCACACAGTTACCTGCCTTCCAGGCAGATGGCCTTCCATCAGATGGGAAACATTACCTATCTGCAATGCCCCCAGGAGCCTGGGGCCAGAGATTCCTGCTTGACTGGTAGAAGCAGGCTCGGAGGACTCCCTCCTCACTCCAGCCTGCTCAGTAGCCGCTGGCCAGGGCTACTTCCTTTCCTGAACCTCCTGGGCACAGACCAGAGGAAAGCAATTTAGGAATGGGCTGAGCAGAGGAGCTGGGTAGCTTGCACAGCCACGGGTCAGGTGGGTGGGTCACAGGAGACAAAGACAGCCGTCCCCCTGTGCAGTGGAGGACACACCCCCACGGGGGAAGGAGGAGAGCACTAGTGTGCACATGTGTGTATACATGCACACATGTGCACGGTCCAGGACATGGAACAAAGTATGCCTGGGGGCAGGGGGCAGAAGAGAAAGAATATTGTGCCCCAGGGCTCTGCAGAGGTGACCGGAAGACCCAAGCAGCCCCCCGGCCATGTCCCAGCTCAGCTCTCAGCAGCTGCACTGTGCGATTTGTCGGCTGGGGGCCTTTTGGAGGACAGCAGACAGTGAGGGGAGACCACGCCAGCCACCTGCACTCCAGGCCTCCACTGGTGCCACACAGGCCAGGCAGCAAGAAGCGGGAGGGGACTAGGCCAAGCCTACAGGAGCGCTCCGACCTGCGCCCCCCCACCCCCGCCTCCCAGGCTTCGCCGGGCCCGGGTCCAGGCAACCCTGTGACACCCCATGCACTTGAATCCCAGGGGAGCTGCCACCACTCTGGGGACCAAAGCCTAGACAGCTCTAGCCAGCCCTGGGGCTGCAGGAACAAGACAGACACACCTGCTGTCCGTACTGTCCCTGGTAAGCTTATCATCAGGAAGGCACTCCAGTCCCTTGCCCCACCCCCATGGCGCCCTGCAGGGCTCCTCACCTAAAGTCGGGGCGCTGGCCTCTGCCTTCGAACAAGTGTTCTGGAAAACACCATCCCACATCCTCCCTATGTGTCCCCTGTCTCCCACCTCCTGCTTCCCACCCTGAGAAGCCTCCCGGGTCCACCTGGCACGCCTTCAGATGCCACTACACTCCCTGTGCCTTTTACAGTGACGCCCAAGGACAGCCCGGCAATGCCTGCCCACAGCTTTCATATGGGGCCATGGCCTCCCTGTGACTTCCCAGAGCGGAGTCCACGGGCCTGCTAGGGCCACCCCTGGCCAGGACTGCCCAGTCGGCCGGGCAGGCACCTGGGCGGTGCAGACCAGCGCCCGCAAGCCGGGTCCCACGGCCCCTCCAGGGGCGCAGGGCTTCCAGCAGCAAAGCTGGGCACGAGTCCTGGACACACACCACTGGCATCGATGGTGGTCGCCCTGTTAGGATGGGGAGGGACCGCCGCACACACCGCGGAACCCACCAAGTGGCACTCCCGAGGCCGAAATGCGCTTGCAGCGGAACAGGCCAAGGGCACAGGCTCCACAGCGCCGCGCGGGGAGCTAGCCAGGCCGGCCTCCCTGGGAGAGGAGTCTTTTCAAACCAGAGAGAGAGAATCCCATTGTGAAACGGCCCAGCCCCCACCCGGACACAGTGGGACGCAGAGTTCGGGAGCTAGTCCACAGGCAGCCACAGCCCCCACTGGGAACAGAGGGGGTGCTCAGCCAGAGAACCCCGCCTTCGAGACAGCGAATCGTTAATCAGGGGCTGGGCTCTCCAGGGCAATTGGCTGCTGCGGGACTTGGACATTCTGTTCCCAGGCCAAGAGCCTCATGTGACACCTCCCCCCTCCCCCCCCCCACACCTCCCCTCCCCGTGGAACAAACACCACAGCCTGAGACAGAAGGTTCTTGCGGCAGGTTTTTCAGTCTTGTCCACACTTCCCCTAAGGACACTACGCCCAGAAGCAGAGCCTGACTTAATTCTGACTCAGCACAGTGGTTCAGGAAGTGTCTCCACACTCACTGCCCAGAGAACAAGCCCTGCAGCAAGCCGGTAACCTCGGGGAAGACCTCAGGCCACCCTGCCCCCCCATTCCTGGCTGCAAGTTCCCTTCTCTACTGATGCCCTTCAAGCTCCAAACCCAGCAGGCAGAGCCGCCTGTATATCAGAAAGCCATTGCGGGGGGGGGGGACGGGCGGGGGGGTGCCAGGCAGGGGCAGGGTGGTGGGACCCACAGGTTAGGGACCCTCCCAGAGGGCAGGCGCAGCCTTTGTAAGCAGCTGGTAGCCCTGTTCTCGGCCTGGAGGGCCATTCAGTGTGCTTGTCACAGCTACTGAACTCTGCCCCTGTTGGGCAAAAGCACTCTGAATTTCATACAATTTCCACGTCACAAATTATTTTTCTTGCTTTGATTTGTTTCAACCACTTAACAAAGCAAAAACCATTCTCATCATGCGGACGGCACAAAACCAGGCGGCGGGTGGCATCCGCTGTGGGGAACAGTGGGCTGGCTCCTATCCTCAGCGCCCCTCAGGCCTGGCGCACAGTGCTGTAATCCTCCCGGGGCAAAAATGCAAGAGCCCCGGGCTGAACCCAGGAGGGCTTCCAGGAATCAGGCTGACGAAGCTCTCCTAGCCCCTGCTGCCTCAGGCCCAGGCTCAGCCCAGCCCCCGGCCACCCAATGGGGCTCTGGGGGCGCCCCAGGTGCCAGGCAGGCCTTACTCCATCTCCTGGCGCTCCGCCTCCTCTGTGCTCAGGTCCTCCTCTACTCCATAGTCCAGGATGGAACCCACACCAAAAGCCTTGTTATGCTGGATCAGGGGCCGGATGGACTCCTGGTCCTCGCCGGCCACAAACTGTCCGTAGAAAGTCATCTTCATCAGCTTGTCAAACAGCCTTTGTCCCAGAAGTCTCCTGGAGAGATGGAGCAGCTGAAAGGCAAAGGGAAGAAGCTATCCTGGGCCAGCAGCGACTCCTGTCCTCAGCAGGACACCCTGCTTCCCTGACCCCTTTACTCCAACCACAAAGCCTTGACATGCTCTCCCCAGGGCCAAGCTTGGCTCGGGGCCCCCATTTCATAATGGAGACCACCCAAAGCACCTTGCAGGTCTGCTGGCAGCAACTGCCAATCACCCACTCCCCATGCGGGGCGGGTCCCAGGTGCCACCCCTGTGGCCACTCTTCCTCCCTGCCTTGCCTGCTCACAGATGACCCCACTGGTACTTAGCAGGTGCCTGACCACCGCCTGGTGGGTAAAGAAGTGAACGGCAGGTCCCTCTGAGAGAGCAACGGGCACGTTCACAACATCCCCTACATCCCCACATCAGGAGATTACGCTGGGGAAGAGGAAGATTTGGTGCAACTTTCTAGAAGGCGAGCACCAGGTCTTTCAATAGTTTGTTTACTGCTTGCTTAGTCCAAGTGCTTAAAACAGTGCCTGGTAAGGGGCCGGCTCTCCAAGTGTTGTTGAACAAATGAACATGTGCAAAGTGCAGAACGAATCTGAGTTTGCCTGGAGTGAGGTGTAGACTGACAATCACCCAGGTGACCATCTACAAAGCTCTGTGAGATGAGAAGCCACTCTGGGACCAGTGGGGACTCAGCACAGTTACCCAGAGCCACAGCAGACCAGCAGCTCGGACTGACGTGTCCCTGAGGAAGAGAGCTGCCCACGGACGACGCGGCTTCCTCCTCCAATCACATCCCAAATTTCTGTCATCATTCACTCAAATGTCCTAAACAGCTGCTTCACGTCCAGTGCAATCCCACGCTGTGCCAAACAAAGGCACTCACACCCTGCTGGGGGACACCCAGAGGGAGGGGCAAGGCTGCCCCACGGGGGGCCTGAGAACAGGGTGGGAGGTGTTTGCTAACTTAGATCCAGAGAGGGACCTTGCCAAGGTGAGGGAGTGACAACGAGCTGGCACAGTGGAGACAGCCAGGGCAGGAGGCTTCGGGGCTGGCGGCTGGCAGGGCACACCCACCGCCTACCTATCTGGGAATTCCCACGTGCCCGCCGCCCCCACCCCAGCTCCCAGGCAGCAGAGCCTGAGGTTTCTCAGGCCCAGTGGATAACGGAATCCTCTGTATTGTGGGGAACATCTCTTGGGATCACGGTTTCAAGAACAATCTCTACTCTAAGCAAAAGTGTGAGCAAGTCCCCAAACCAGCCCCAAGCAGCTCACACTGTCCCAAAGGCAGGCAGACAGCCCCGAAGTGCAGGTTGGCGCTCAGCGGAGATGCCTCGAGGCCACACCTGCAGGGCGTCCCACACGAACGGCTACCTTGCTGCAGTGTCTGTGTCTAATTGTATTCTGTCTCATTGTTTTTATAAAGATTAGAAAACGAAAGTGAAAGTTTTGATATAGAGGATTAATAATGGGAACAAAGTGTGAACAAAAGAGGGCAGGGCAAGTCTCTCTTCCTGTCCCCAGCCTCACACTGAGCCAGAGCTGCCTTTCAGGAATGAAGGCCAGTCTGGAACATAATCAAAGATCCTCCCAGGGCAGCCGGGGTGGAAAGCCAGCATCTGGCCCTGGAAATGAATCCTTGACGTATATACATGGGCTCTAACGTACCAGGTGTGGAAGCGTCTCCTCACAGGCCAGCAAACTGTCCCTTCCGGGGCCCCACGTGAAATTATTTAGGCTGTGGGAGCCAAACTACCTCTGTCATAGCTACTGAGCTCCGCCAACGGAGTTCACAAGAAGCCACGGCCATCACTCATCGAAGGAGCAAGAGCAAGACTGGCTCTTTACCGACAAAGACAGGAAGTCTGGCATCAGGCCCCTGGGCCGGTGACCTCCCGCATCCTGCACTGCGCTCTGCACTGACCTTCTCTGCTCCAAGGGCAGGCAGGGCTCAGAGGGCAGGCAGGGCCACCCAGGTCGCGGAGCCAGTCACTCACCCTCTCACCCTGGCAAAGGGCAGGCACACAGGGCAGAGCCGACGGTTTCAAAACAAACTCCAAAACAAAGCGGCCACTTTGAAACCGCCTGGGCAGCACTGCCTGGCATGAGGGCAGCCCACCTTTCCTCCAGGTGGGGGCATCCTTCGTGGATTTAGAATCTTGCCCCAATAACACAGACTCTAGTTTTCATTGTAAGACACAGGTGCCTGCAGAGCACAGGTAGAGCAGGTCCTCTCTCCCTGCCCCCGGCTGGGCCACTGCCACCATCTGCAGCGTCCCCTTCCATCACCCTCTTCTGCAGTGGCGCACAGAAGCCTTTGTCATGGAAGACCTGGATTTTCTAATCTCTTCTCAGTGTGGCCCCCACTGAGTCCCAAGCCCAGGCATATGGCTCAGCTGGGCTCCTGCGCGCTGGCGCTGTCCTCCGGAGTGGACTCCAATGACCTCCAGCGCACCAGCGGGAATTGCGGAAACCAGCACCATTCAACAGGAAAAATTTCCAACCAGAGAAGTTTTTATTGTGCAGCAGAGGTCAGGGGACAGGCCCACAAGTCTGTGCAGTCTGTCTGGCCTCTGCCCCTTTCCCCCCAGCAACAGGTGCCAAGGCGACCATCACCAGTGGGACCACCAGCAATGACAAAGGTGGAACAGGTCCCATGGCGGGGCAGGGGGCATGCAGAGCACCATCCACTGATAGCGGGCTCCCTGAGGGTGTCCCCAGGTCACAGGCGGGATTTGAGAAGGCCTGGGTGGGGCCCCAGCCTCTTCTAGGCGCCCACAGCTCAGTCCCTGCACGCTGGCACGTGCCTCTGGCAGGCACCACAGAGAGAGCAGAGACGCCACATCCCTGCCAAGGCAGCCTAGGGCTCCCAGCTACGCTGGCTTTGCTGCTGCTTTTTAACCCAGGGAAGGGAAGTCAGTGCTGTGCTGAGACAAAATTTGGCCGAGCTGGTTCCAAGCCCCTTCTTTCTCTCCCTTCCATCTACACAGGGGTCACAGCTTCTGCGCCGCTCACCCCGGTTCCAGCCGGCAGTCCCGTGATGCCTCCACTTCTCCAGTTCAGCTATTCTTCCTGCGAGTCTCTCCCTGCCACCATTGGTCCTAGACTCCAAGCCTGACAGGGCGTCTTCCAGAGGGATCCAGGCCAGTACCTCCACCGGCCTCACAGCCCCTTCAGAGCCACCCAACTTGGAGATGTTCTGGACCTCTGCCCTCACTTCCCACCTGCTGTGGCCTGGCTTTCTCTTAGCCAAGCCTGAGGTGGCTCAGTGCTCCTCTGCCCAGGCCCTCCCGGGGACTGAGGGAGGCGCACCATGTCCTCAGCAGTCTCGCCTGAGAAATCCACACCAACTGCAAAAAGAGCCTTCTAGACCCTTTGCACCAAAAACTAGAGCCTTGCAAACTGTTCCCAGGATCATCTCAAAATAAGTGTATCTCTGTACCCCAGAGTGACAGTGGCTAAGAGTGTTCTGTTTCTTACTTCCCCAAAGCCCTCACACTGTGCAAAGTTACCATGTTAAAGTTTTAGAAGTTTTAAAAGAGCAGCTTTCGGCCCCCCCCCACCCCCCCGCCCCAGCAACACCGTCTATGCGTATTGGCCATGCCTGGGGAGCCCCTAGATCACTGAGAACTCAGGGGTCCTGGGGTTATGAGCCCTTCAATACCACCAGACTTCTTTTTGGGCAATATGGGGGACTCAATTTTAAATGTCACATAACAATTTTGTATTACTGCAAGTGGTATATAGCTTAAAAATTAAAATTTTCTTTGTTTTTAGTTGGTACTGAGATGTAGCAAAATTCAGGGATCCGAAAAGGAATGCAGGGAACACCTCCCTTCCTGACTTCTCTCTCAACAGGCGATGCTCTAGAGGCCCCTTCTTTACATTCTGAAACTTCATAACGCATCCTGGAACCAACAGAGGAACCCGGGGGACCCACGCGCAGCAGCCCACCCAACGGCCCACTCCCGCACCTTCTCATGGTGCGCCAACAGCAAGGGCGAGGCGCAAAGGCGCAGCACCAGCAGGCTGCGCGCTAGCTCCCAGCTGCGCCGGCTACGGTACGCCTCCTGCGCGTTGTCGAAGTCCACGGTAGGCACCGGCGGCCGCACGGGCTCGGACGCCCCGCGTCCGGGCACGGCCCCCGGGCCCGCGGCGGGCTGCTCGCGGGTCGCCGGCGCCGTTGACAGAGAGGAGAGGCGAGGAGTGCCGAGGCGCACCACGGAGAGGATGCGCTTCAGAGCCATGACTGGGCGCCCGTTGATGCCGGGGTTTGCTTAAGTAGAAGCCGCCGCTCCCCAGCCCCCTCAAGCCCCGCCCCGCCCCGCGCCCAGCCGCGCCTCTTCTCGGAAGGCCCCGCCTGGCCCCGGGACCCGCGAACTCGCCTAGGGAAGCACCGCCCCGCGGCAAGCCACGCCCACTTTTCCGAAAAAGCCCCGCCCCGCCCTCGCCTCCGCGCCCACTCTGAAGGAGGCCACGCCCCAGAGCGTTCCCAGCAGGTGTCTGTCCTGTGGCAGATCCTGGCCACAGAGCGACCCCACTGACGATTGAAACCCGCCTGCTTAGCCCGTAGCCAAACCCCCCAAACGGGATCCTGTCTCCCTGGCTGCCCACCCCGTCTCCGCCTTCCTCGCAGGAGACCGTTGCCTCTAGGGGCTGGGCCCGCGCCTCCTTCTCGTGTTTCCGAAGTCGCCCACCTGTCCGGATGGATCAGGAGCCCGCCCGCCAGCTCCATCGCACATCCGCACACCTGCACTCCTCCCTGGTCTTTGGGCCGCCTGGACGCACAACCGAGGCCAGGCCTGCGGAGAATCCAGGAAGGTCAGAGGGTTGGGAAGCCATCCGTCCTCTTCCTTGGAACTAGGACCGAGAGTGGGAAAGAGGCACCTTAAGAAGTTACCCAACTCTGCTTCTCTCTTGTCTTTCCAGTCCCCGCACCCACCCAGTAGGCAGCTGGGAACTCACAGGCTCCCTTGGACCCCTGCGTTCCCCCTGGTTTCAGTCCCCTCCCCATCCTCCTAGGCAGGGCCTCGTTGCCAAACTTGGGGCTTGACAACAAAGTCGCCTGCTTTGCTGCCTCCCTCGGACCTTCTTTCACTCCTAAGGGCCTTCCCTCCCTCGGCCTAGGATGCCCCTCCTTCCAACATCCTAGCTACCACCTTCTGGAAGGGACCCGCCCTAACTGCCTCACTTTAGCACACCCCTCCCCATCACTCACTCCTGGGCCCCTCCTGTATCTCCTGAAGACATTTCTGTGCCCCCCACGGGTGCTGGGTCTGACTGCGGGTGGCAACTTCACTCCCACCTCTCCCGCCCTTGCCCACCTGGTTCACCTGGCTCACCAGGTGCTCCATGCATCTTGGTGAATTGGAAGTCCTAACCTGTTCAGCACTGTTGACCACTTGCAGCCTCCAGGCAACAGGCTGGTAAATTTCAGTTCATTTCAGTCAATTTCCACCTTTAGCAGATCAGCTGCCATCCCCACATTCCTCAGCCCAGGGGCAAGCAACTATGGGGACAGTGGCAAGTAATCCTTCCTCATAGCAACTCTATTCAGAGTAGCCAAAAGGTAGAACCAGCCCAAGTGTCCATCAATGGACGCATGGAGAAGTACACTCACTGGGGACTATCATTTAGCAATAAGAAAAAGAATGAGGTACTGATGCAGCGTGCTACAATGCGGCTGAACCTAGAAAGCATTATGCTAAGTGAAAGAAGGCAGATGCAAAGGGCGACCTGTTGTATGATTTTATTTCTATGATGTGTGCAGAAGAGACAAATTTATATAGAAACAGAAAGTAGACTAATGGTTTCCTGGAGGAATGGGGGGCAACTGCTAATAGGGATGAAGTTGGGATATGAAAGTGTTCTGGAACTGGATGGGAAGTGGTAATATTTGCTTAACTTTGTGAGGATTTAAAACCCATACAGTTGTACCCTTGGAATGAGCGAGTTGTGTAACTCAGTAAAGCTCCTGTGGCTCTGGCCAGTGGGGCTCAGTTGGTTGGGTGCCCTCCCACAAAGCGAAGGGTCACTGATTTGATTCCCTGTCAGGGCACCTGCCTGGGTTCTGTCCCAGGTCAGGGCAGGTATGAGAAGCAACCAACTGATGTTTCTCTCCCTTTGTTTCTCCCTCCCTTACCCTCTCTCTAAAAAACAAATAAATAAAAATCTTAAAAAAATGTTTTCCAAAAAACTGTTGTGATACAAAAAGCAAAGGGGTCACAGTTCTAGCATTTGCTTCAAGGAAGCGTGTGGCCTGGATGTGGAGGTGAAGGCGGGCAGGGCTGCCAGGCTTGGGGCCGCAGGGAGGGGACACAAGAGCAGGGCACGAAGTTTTCGCCGAGACCGTCCACTCGCCTCCAGGCTGAGGCCAGTGGGGGACGAGCGTTGCAGTGCCCGGATCCCCTGGGAGGACAACCGACCTGTCAATGCGCCTGTGGAGACAAGGCTGGCTTGACAGACGCCAGCAAACATGCAAATAATTAAAACAACTAAGTTTCACAGATACTCCATAAATACCAAGAAGGCAATTCTGCCGCAAATAGCTGCTGGCACGTTTTGGAGGAAGGACAGTCCCCAGAGCCAGAGATCTTGATGGGGGTTTGCGCAGGGGTCCTCCGGGAGGTCGGCCGGATGGAGGGTAAGCTGGGGGCAGAGGGCAGAGGGCTGAGCCCCTGTCCGCCAGTTCGGGAGACTGAGGCATGTCTGAGAGGGCCTCGGTGGACTTAGTCTGGCGGTTGTCACCACCCGCCCCCGCCCCGAGGATGGGCCTGTCATCCCGGCCAGGACCTCCCAAGAGGAAGCACGCAGGAAACAGACCTTAATGAGAGGCCGGCTCGGCCACCTCAGGAAAACTACCAACCCCTTTTCACCAGTCATGTGACTGTGTTGTGTGTGTTTCTTCCCAGACAGCCCTTTCTCTGAAGTCCCCCCACGTCCCGGCTTGTATGGGTGCGCGGTGAAATGATTTGTTTTTACTTCAGCGTCAGAGTTCACACTGATATGTTGCATTTTGTCCCTTGCTCTACCCATTTTTAACTGATATCTTTGCTCTGCCTATATGAAGAGAAATTCATTCATATTTGTTTAATTTGGGGCTTGTCTGTTATCAGCCTGCACCAAACACAGGCCAGTATTTGCTCTGCTGGCCTGTGACTCCCTCGTCGGCACATTATCCTGTTGTTCCCTCCGTGATCACAGATTCTGCTCGGGTTCTATTTAGCTACGTCATTTCATTCATTTTTTTCAAAACTGGTAAAATATGATTACATTTCCTGATGTCAAGGTTGCATGAATGCAGTCACGCTTCGCCACACCAGCCACTTTGGATTCTTTCCTTGTGCAGTCAGGGGTACTCTGCATGCTGACGTGCGGGGCACCTGCAGCCTTCCCCTCCAGGAGCTACCGTTACCATCCACTTGATGCCGGGAAACTCAGGCGCAGAGGGGGAAGCAACCTGCCCTTGGGCCCGCAGCGGGATTTGAAGTGGTGTCCCAGGCCACTTCCCCCACCTTGTCCAATTGTTAAGTCAGTTCTGGCACCGGATGAGCCCTGGCCAGAGGTGTCCTGGGAACCTACAAGCCAGGGAGCCCAGCCAGGGCCCCAGCCTTGAAAGGGGGCCAAGCCAGAGGACCCGAGGCCTCTGGCGACAGAAGAAGGGGGGATGATGTTAGAGTCGAGGTGGGACAAATGCACCTCTTTGTGGTCAGTGTGGTGGAAACCTCTTGTGAAGAAGGCAGCCAGCGCAGGGCTCCAGAGGCCTGCATCAGGGCCTAGCAGGCACGTGCCCCGTGAGGGCCAGAGTAACACGGCAGTAGCAGCAGAGACCTGGTTCCTGTTATGTCCTGGGCACGGGGCACAGGGACTGCAGAGTGAGGCCACGGGTGGCAGCTTTGGGCCCCAGAGAGTTTGGGACTTCTTCCTCAGAGAAGTAAGAAGAATAATAATACCCCCCCCAACACACACACACACACACACACACACACACACACACACACTCATCCTCGGCCAGGGCTGTTGCCAAGATTCAGCCTGAAGGTGTTTAGCACAAGCCCTGTGTCCGCTAAGAACCTGACAAGCCAGGGTCATGCTCTCGCCACTTGCCCAGGGCACCCGAAGGTGCAGGGAAGCCTCAGGAGCCCGGTCCCCTGCTTGAAGGTGAGCAGGTTACAGGGATGTCCTGCTGGCATTGGTCCTGGGGACATGGACCTTGGGGAGGGCTGAGCAGTCCGGGGCCAGGTCTCAGAGGAGGGCCCTCCTAGGAAGCTGCAGCTTCGGTCTCCCTGAAGGCCCCCTGGGAGCCCCCACACACACAGCCCATGAGTCTGGGGGCTGACACCCTCAGATCTGGGCACGATGTCAGAGATGTGTCTCCTGGGTCCTGTGGGGTTGACTGGGATCCAGGGCACTTGGTGACACTGGGCCACCCTCTCTGCTCCAGCCTAGTGATGGTGACCCTCCCGCTTGGCTGGAGACTACCCCAGGGAGCAGGGGCCTGGCCATGCCACACGGCTCCTGCAGAGCTCCCCGGGCCTCGGGGGACAACAGAACAGGGTGCTGCTAGGCTGCTCCTGAGGGCGCTGCCTGGGCCCAGCAGGGTTCCCGGGAGGTGCACAGTGGGACAGGTCCCGTCACTCATCACTTTAGGCACCACTGGATGTGCCACTTTGGGCTTTTATCCCAACAAGCATGCGTGGCTTCTGTGATAAACACATACTGTTTATGTGCTTAAATAATAGTCATAAAAAGAAAAGGCAAAGCAGTGGCTTTGGCTGAAGTCCTAGGCACTCAGGAGGGGCTGGCTTGAGTCAGGATTATGTGACGGGGCCTTTTGTGGCTTAGGCGCAGGTGGAAACAGCCCCCCGCCTGCCAGGGGCCTGCCCAGGCGAGGCCTGCCCAGCCCCCCTCGCCCGAGGTGGGAGGCCATGAGTGCAGGCCTGAGCTGGTCCAGCGTCCTCCAGGCCTGGCCTGGCTGTGCTTCCTGGGCGCCCGCTCAGGGACCTGGGCCTTCCTGGAGGAGGTAATGGGTGAGCTGGAACAAGGAGGACCCTGGCCTGGTGAGGGAGAGCTGGGGCCACAGGGGTCACAGGAGAAGTGGCCTGAGGCGGGGAGGCTGGCACCCTGCTCTGCCAGCCAGCAGAGTCTCTGGGGCAACTCCCGGCCTCTGCGTCTGACTTCTGATGCTTCTCCATGGGCACCTGTGCCCCGTCTCCCCTCAGCAGTATCAGGGTGAGCTCCCCCCGCCCCCGC